AGGAATAGGCTTTGGTAAAGTTTCTGATAAATGGGCCTCCTATAAAATTGGACTACTTAATCATGCAATGGGGTTAACTCTAGCTATTTGCTTTCTCTGTTTGTATACTAGAGACAATCAACCAAGCGTTTCTTTAAAAAAACTCGTATCTTTTATTGTTCAGGTTTACGCTCCAGCATGGTTCGAAATAAAAAAATCTTCAAAATTTTACGAATTCCTGTGCCTTATTTTTTCTACTACTGGCTACCTATTTTCTTCCTAGTGGCTCTAAGGCAAAGGTATTTTTTTTTAGTTAACTAAAATAAAGTTTTGAAAAAAAAATGATACATTAAATGTGGTAATTGGCTTTAATTTATATTTATACAGTAAACAACAGAATTTTGGAAGTAAATTTGAAGAAAATTCTGGAAATTAATTTTAATGCTAATCATCTGCATGAGTTGGTTGATATCAGCATTACTAAAGTTATGGAGCCCTCTACAACACAACATTTTTCAATTATGCAAATCCAAGAATATATATATATATATATATAATATATATATATATATATATATATATATATATATATATATATATATATATATATATATATATATATATATATATATATATATATATATATACATATATACATATATACATATATACATATATATATATATATATATATATATATATATATATATATATATATATATATATATATATAAATCCAAGAATATATATATATATATATATATATATATATATATATATATATATATATATATATATATATATATATATATACATATATACATATATACATATATACATATATATATATATATATATATATATATATATATATATATATATATATATATATATATATATATATATATATATATATATATATATATACACATATATATATAGCTTATATGAAGCTAATATTTTTAATAAAAAGTAGTCTTAAACAATTTGTTGCTAAAATCATTGCTGGTTTCCTTAGTATTTGTTTTTACTGAGGAAAAATATGTTCTGACTCTTGAGTCATGTTTTATAAAGTGTTGGCTCCAGCTTTCATTCCATGTTTCCATTTTAAAAGTTAATATTTAGTTTTTACATCAAGTTTTTACAATTATATAAAAATATTTATTATTGAGACAATTTTTTTATACATTTAGTTAAATTTAAAAAAGACTAGTTGGTGGTTAATTTTGTTCTTTCTAAATAGTACCCATTTTCAGATTTTGTTTCTTTTTACCTAGTCATGTGCTTTTTAAGATTCTACAAGGAATCTTAAAAAGCACATGACTAGGTAAAAAGCACACTGACTAGGTAAAAAGCACACTGACTTAAAAAGCACACTGACTTTGCAATAACCTCTCTGCACTCATGCACTTTGTCATTCCTATCTTTTACAATACATTAATTTTTTTTCCCTACTTCTTAGAAATATTTCAAAAACTCAAATTTTTTTTAGTTTTTTTTTGTTGACTTTACCAGTGCTAAGCATAAACTTATAAAATTGTCCATCATATAATGGATATTCACGGGTGAAAATTATTATTAAAAATATATTAAAATTATGCAATAAATAAATTAAATGGTAAATATTTTATAGAAATGCTTGTTAAAGTAACAATAAAGCAAATGTAAATAAATTCAAATTAGACACATTTTAAGTTTCCCTCTGTCACATGATTGACAGTGATTTGGTCCTAGGACTCCTGGCTTGAAATTCCTAACTCATGACTTCTGATTGGTAGTTAGGCAATAGTGGAGCGTTTCAGATCAAGACAAAATCACAATGCTGTGAGATTTAAAAAATTCAATCCTTGCACTTGGTAAAATCACACAACTATATTTCCCACTTTGTTTAAGTTTATTGGTTAAAAAATTAAATAGGTTTATTAGAATAGATTAAAAATGGTGTAGCACTAATATGGTTCTAAATGATAATTAAGTTGCGTTTTTTGAGTTTAAGATTATTTGATAAAAACAAACATTATAATGAGTTTTCTCAGCTTTTGATTTAATTCATAAATAAATCCATCAATGTAATGGCCTGTAATATCAAAAGCAATGATGCCAATGTAGTATCGATAACAATGATATATCTAATTTATAACTTATTGTCAAACATGTCATGAAATCTTAACAGCATGATGTTATTAGAAAATATTATTTGCATTGGATTATTTACTTCATTTGCAGTGACCTATTTACTTCATTACCTTGGTAAATGAAGTGACCTATTTACTTCATTACCTTGGTAAAAGTCTTTTGTTTAAATCTATTTTCAATTTTTGACTCTAATTTTTTATATCCTATTTATACTATTTAACAGTCTAAAATAAATTTGTTTTAGATTACTCACAAAGCCAACAGAATTCATTTAATAAAAGTCAGGTATGTTATTCAAATTAGTATTAAAAAAATCAATTCATGCATTGTTAATGTAAGTTATTATCAAAACCCTATTGTTATAGTATTTTTATGTAATTTAGATTAGATATTTAAGTATATTATAATATTATTATGCAATCATAGTTATGCAATAGCTATTTATTTTTCAATATTTTGCTACCATTGTACTGTTATTAAAATATAATTAACATTATCTTTTAAATTGTTGATTGATTCAACTGTACATTTTTAACGCATTCATATTCAATATATTTATTTTTAATATTTTTTACACTTGTTTTATTTTATTTTTTAATTTTTGGCTTTTCTTTTTGCTTATGAATTAGTCAGATGCAGATGTTGTATCCAAACTCTTAGGATTTATGGAGGATTACTTTTATGTTCTTCAAGCATACAAAATTCCTGGTGAAATTGCTACCACTGGAAGTACAGCAGCATTTGATTTTTTTTTAAAGAAAGAACTCAAAGATAACCTGAGCAATATGACTATTTCTTCTGGTTTTATTCTTTCAGATGCTAAAGAAATGTTTAACCAGTCTCTCAAGAACATTCCAATAATAGTGAATGTATGTTATGTATATAATAACAGTGAATGTATGATATATATATATATATATATATATATATATATATATATATATATATATATATATATATATGTATATATATATATATATATATATATATATATATATATATATATGTATGTATATATATATATATATATACATATATATATTTATATATATATATATATATATATATATATATATATATATATATATATATATATATATATATATATATATATATTTATATATATATATATATATATATATATATATATATATATATATATATATATATATATATATATATATATATATATATATATATATGTTTGTAACCTAACCAAATATGAGGGTATGCAATATCAAGTTAAAAAAAAACCATCTTGATATATATACATATATATATATATATATATATATATATACATATACATATATATATATATATATATATATATATATATATATATATATATATATATATATATATATATACATATATATATATATATATGTATATATATATATATATATATATATATATATATATATATATATATATATATATATGTATATATATCAAGATGGTTTTTTTAACTTGATATTGCATACCCTTATATTTGGTTAGGTTACAAACATATATATATATATATATATATATATATATATATATATATATATATATATATATATATATATATATATATATATATATATATATATATATATATATATATGTATATATATATATATATATATATATATATATATATATATATATACATACATATATATATATATATATATATATATATATATATATATATATATATATATATATATATATATATATATATATATATATATATATATATATATATATATATATATATATATATATATACATATATATCTTTATTGAACCTCACCAAATAAGAGGGTGTGCGATATCAAATTCAATAAAAAAACCATCTTGATATGTATATATATATATATAGATTGTTAGCCACAAAAAAAAATTAAATAATTTGTCTTGAGGTTGATGGCAAAGTTAATCAGACAACTCAAACAAGTGTTATACACTCACTTAAAAGAAGACATGCTCAAAAAAAGCATCGAACCTAATTATCTCCTCACATTAACTTGTGAAGATGGAAAACCTACAAAAAATTGTTTTGCAATATAAAAAAATTTACATTCCTAATCCTGTATATTAGTTTTTGTTACTGCAGTTTTTGGTTGTTTATAACAACTGTAGAAAGTATACATGTTTTTCATGTTGATAATACTGCTATCATAAGCGGACAATAAGCTACCCAAGTTATTCTAAATTTAGTTTAATAAATGTAAAAAGGTTATAATTTAAAATCACTTAGCAATACAAGCATCATTAATAAAATATGTTAAATATAATGGTAGCTTAAAATCACTCAACCTAATAACATCATTAATAAAATATGGTAAAAATAATCATACTTTAAAGTTAAAACTCCTGCATTTAGCACTTTTTAAGGCACTTTATGTTTAATCCTAAACTTCTTAAATACTAAATTTGCCAGCAATTCTTTATCCGAATTTAAGTTTTAAGGGTAATTTTATTTTAGCTTTAACTACTGCAACACTAAGTGGTAGTAATACAAGCCTATCATTTTATGTATGTGTTTATGTATGTATCTATGTATGTATGTATTTTATTAAGTATTTTTAAAATACTGAAATACTGGCATCAACTTTCAGCCAAATATTGAATACCCTTATTGTAATTATGATGGATAAGTTTTTGCAAATTATAAAAAGAAAAGCCCTTAACATAACAGTTTGGTATATATTTAAACAAAAAACTAACAAATATGTAGATGGTTGTCATGTTGACTCAAATTACAAATGAAATAAATGTACTCATGAAAATCGACACTTAAAAGTTAGGCCTAATTACCTCCTGTTAATTAATACATGAGTTTTTTTTGTTTTGTTTTGTTTTTTTCAAAAGAATTGGCAGTTTATTATATCTTTGAATATTAGTATTAATTTTTCTGAGAAATTAATCTTATTAAAAATAAAATGTTTATATATCTTATTGGCTTGCATTCCTTTGTCTCATAAATACCAATTTTAGTGTCTTGTTGTGCTTATAATAAAGTTTTATTTAATTATTGCATTTATTACATTGGTGATTTAGCTTAGTATTTTATGGTTTTCTATTAGAAAATAATGATTTTGTTATTGAATATTATCATACTATTCTATTATCCTATTAAAATTATTTAAAAAAAACACACACACATCAAAACGAGCGTTTTGTTTAAAGTCTAGATAAAACAATTGAAAGAAAAACATTTGTATTAAACAAAATAATTACAATTTTAATGTAAATATTAAAAAATTTAAAAAAAAAAGGAAATTTCCTGCTCTTTAGTTTTTCATTTTTATAAAACGTTTTAAATATTTGCAAAAAGTCATTTTAAAAAAATTCAATGTGATATGAGTAATAACCATAATACAGAATTTTAAGTTTAAAAAAAAAATTGTTTTAATTGTTAAAAACCCAGTAAAACGATTGTTTTGTTTAAAATCTAGACAAAATAGTTAAAATAAAAAAGATAAAAAAATGAAAAATAAAAAACATTTTGCCTAAATATTAAGCAAAATAAATAAAATAAAAATTGAAAGAGACAAACTTTTATCCTATCAGAGTATCTATATTATTAGAATATTTATACCCCTCCCCCACCTCCTCCTCTCCAAATTTACTAGATAGTTTAGATCAGCGCTGGCCAGAATTTTTGATGCATGGGCCTTATATAAATCCTGTTGTGTGTCAAAGAGCTGCAATAAGTATGTTGCAATGCCAACTTTATCTTTAAATTTAATCCTATTAAATCCTATTATAATATTTCATCGAAAATATTAGTGCTTTATTAAGTTAGGGTTTGCCTGTTTTTAGTGAAGTCTTTTCTACTGCAGTATGAAGCAGGTGCAAACCACATGGTAAAGTATAAATGGTGATGATGTTTATCTGATGAGATAAATTGTTGGTGCTGAGCCCCTTTAAAATGCCAGTAACCATAGACATGATTCTGAGGACAAGTTTATTACCACCACAATATAAATTATGATTACACAAAAGCATTGTTTTTTCTTTATCTTATACCTCCTATCATTTTATATTTATTCATTTTAAATATTGATATATCTATGCATATGTATATTTGTTTTAAAGTAAATTAAACTTTTGTATTTAAATAAAGTTTATAGTTACTTATGTGTCCTGTTTTGTTGTAGGTATGCTTAATGACTATGATTTGTGAATAAACTTTTCTTTTTAAAATAATTTTGTATATATTCTGAACATCTGTTCATTTTTCTTTGTTTTTATTACTTATCATCCTTTATACAAAAAAAAATTTGAAATAGAAATGTTTCATATTTTTCTGTGGGTTTCTTTAGTTGCTCAGTCTAGTTCAAGCACAACAGATTACCTTCATCAAATATATCAAAAAAAAAAAGGACAAATTGAATAATTTACTAAAAAGAAAAAAAACTTCAATTCTAGGAACAAATCATTCGAGTATTGAGGGCAAAATAAAATAAAGAAGTATTCATATGAATGAAAGGAAAATAAAGAAGCATTCAAATGAATGAAAGGAAAATAAAAAAGTATTTAAGTAAATGAAAGGAAAATAAAGAAGCATTAAAATGAATGAAAAAAAAAGAAGTGAATGAAATAAAAATAGAAAAAGCACTCAAATGAAAGAAAGGAAAATAAAAAAGCATTCAAATGAATAAAAGAAAAATAAAGAAACAATTTTTTTTCAACATCTATGCTTCCAATAAGGCTGCAAGCAACCACTATTATAGTTGGAAGTTATTGGGAGAGAAAAGATAAAGTTTATAGAGCAAGATAACAATTGACAGACAACTTAGAAGAATGAAAATTGTATGAATCAGGAAATCAAGATGAAGGAAGCAAATTCCAAAGAAGTGATGTTTGAGGAAAAAAACTAGACAAGTTTTTTTGGAGCACTTAGGAACAGTCACAGAAAAAGGATGAGGCTTAATTGAATGAAGAGTAACATGAGAATGAATTTTAGCCATTAGATGGCACAAGAGATGCTAGCTTTTTAGAGCAGTGTCCATTATAGTAATTTAAGAAAAGAGAAAGAGAAGCAACATTATGACAATGCAATAATGATTGGAGGTTGGCTGCAAGAGCACGTCCAACTACATTTACAATGCGTTATTACACCTTGTCTAAAAGAGAAAAAGCATCATTGGAAGATAGGCCCCAGATATGGCAACAGTGTTCCATACAAGGACGGATTTGAGATTTATAGAGATAAAGAATAGAATCCGGAGTATGAAAGTCGCAATCACAATAAAGAAATGCAACCTTGCTAATTATGCAATGGATTTGATATATGGTATCCAAGAAATATCGGAAGTAAGAGTTAATCCTAGAAGATGAAAAGTAGATGACTAATTGAGATCAAAATTATTGCAATAATTATTGGCTGAAAAAAAATTGGGTTTTATCTGAGTTAAAATTCACCTGCCACAAAATTAGAAATGTCAAGAGCGATATCTGTAACCTCTCCATATCCATCTAATGCAGGGTTATTTCTGTTAACAAATCAGCTGTAGAATGAGAGGATCAAAATCCATAATGATGATCAGAAAATAAGTTATTAGATTCAAAATGAGAGATTAAGTGTTTGTTAATTAAAGACTCAAAAACCTTGGTTTTGATAGGGAGAAAACTTATGGAACAGTAGTTAGACAAGTCAGATCCATCTCCAGATAACAGATGCTGCTTTCCAACAGGCTAGTAAACAGAAGAAGACTCTGAGAAGCACTTGTTAAATAGTTTTGAAAGTATAGACAACAGCTCCGAAGAACACTTCTGCAAAACTATAACAGGTATGTTGTCTGGATCACAAGCTTTAGAAGAGTCTAAGCAGGAAATCACTTTAAATACAGAAGCTGGAGTGGTTTGAATGTCAAGAAGCATGCCAGAAGCTTTATATCCAACCTTATAGCTTTAAAACAGAACCATTTTGGTTGTGTTTTAAAGTTATAGGGTTGGGAAACGGGTTTTAAAGTCAGTTTAATAAAATAGAAATTAATATATAATAATGGTATTAAATTGATAATAATATCAAATATACTTTAATGAAATTGATGCCCAACTTATTTGATGAAGTAAGTAAAGGTATATATACTGGAAAAAGATGTTATCTTTATATTTAAGTAAAGTCATTATATAAAAAGACTAAAAACTTCAATTGTACTTTATGTAGCATTATATCTAAAGATATAAAGTTCTCAAGATTACTTTGCTTATGAGATAAACTGCTACAATGAGACTTAATTTAACTGCTACAATGAGACTTAATTTAAATGAACTGTAGTCCTCAGCGTATGTTTTGTGGTGATTACTCTGATGCAATAAATTCATCAAATTTAGTGATTCATGCCCAACACAACAAGTTGATGTTGTTGTTTTTTTTAATGTCTATTGTCTCACACCTGAATGGTTTAAACAGGTTTCTACAATGTTATTTTTTAATTTAAATATGACATTATGGAAGAATTTTTTATAATCAGTTTCAAAATTTTTATAAACATAGATATGGATGCTTCTGACATGAAAGTTTAAGAAACTTATATTTATTATTATTATGTATGTAAGTTAATAAAGTTAATTGATTTAGATTAATTAGATCAGTTTGTCTTTTTTCTTCGGAATACTAAGTTGTCTGCAAATTCACATTTTCTGTATTTTTCACGTTATATACAATTTTTGAGATACATTTTTTATAAGATATAAAAACACTTTATTATTGACTAGTAAAAGTATAAAAATTACATAATAATAAACTAAACTTTTTGATTTTAGATTTAAAGCTGTATCTTACATTCTTAAAGGTGTTGTATAATTTTAATAGCCGCTCTTCTTAATTATTTTTAGCAACAACAAAAAAAAAAAGGATACTGCCACAAATAGGAACATTTCTGTGTATGACTATTTTTTGACCAAAGAATTTTCCTCGCCTTTTTTTTACTATGTTATTCTCCCTACAATCATAAGACTAGTCTTTTATTTATTTATTTATTAATTGTTATTGTTACAATCCTTTCTTAACCCGATAGTTTTAATACACTAACTTTAACAAACATGAAATTTTTGGGGAAAAACTAACTGGCAATTTTAAACAGGGACATTAAAATGATGCTGCAGTTGTTCTCTCCAAATATTGTTTGATATATTGATTGATTGATATATTGATCGATTGATATATTGATTGATTGATATATTGATTGATTGATATATTGATTGATTGATATATTGATTGATTGATATATTGATTGATTGATATATTGATTGATTGATATATTGATTGATTGAAACCTTGAAACTTTTTTGAGAATATTAATCCCAAACAATGTTGTCATCTCAACTAATTTCAATGATCAGCTTTTTAAGACTGTGTATCATTGAAATTAAGCAACTAACAAACCACTTTTACAAACATTTACTGGGTTGTCTCATCTAAGCAACAAAGGTGTGGGAGTCTCTGTTGGGCTTATGCTATTTACTACTGCAAATCAATACATTCTTGCAAGTAATTAAAGAATCTCACTATTTAATGTGTAACAGCACCATAATAAAAAAGAAGGTGGGAGAAACAAAGGTGTGGGAATCTCTGTTTGGCAAATGCAGTCTACTAATGCAAATAAATACATTCTTGGAGTAGTTAAAAACTCTCAAATTATAATGCTTAATGTGTAATTTTTTTCATGCTCAATGAAAAAAAAAACCAGGACTACTTTTGACAATCATCTACCAAGCAAATGGGTGTTATCAAAATAAATGTAAATTATTATTTACACAAAACAAGAAGCAACAATTCCCTACAGGCATGGAGTCTTACTAAAAAAAGATTTACTTGTAGATAGAGCTCAATTGCTAGGCATTATGTCTTCTTACTTTCTAATTTAAAAATGAAAAAATTGATGCAAACTGAAAATTGATCTTGATCTTGCAGCTAAAATTTTATTTTATAGCCTTCCTTTTATAGATTTTATAGATTTCCTATAAAAAGTCAAAATTATATTGACAAAATCTTAAAACTTGACAATTTAAATACTAATCCTAATACTACGAAAATTTTATTTTATAGATAAACAATAAAAAGTCCATATTATCTTAACAAATTCCTGACACAATACTCTAATAAAATCTGGTTTTGTTTTTGTTTTTGAATTTTTTAAAAGCAAAGAAGGTTGTCATATTCTTAATGTGACCTACTCATGTCAGTTGTTGTAATTTAACATTATATTACACATATCAGTAAAAGTAAACTATTGAATAATATTATGTGTAGTTAAGCATTTTGCTGTTATATATTTTTGATTTTTATGTAGTTTATATTTTATAAAATATTTATTTATAGTTTGATTTTTTATTATTTATAGGATTTTTTTCTATGCTCCTGTGTTACATGACCTTTTATGAGATAATAAGGAAGCTATTCTTTTAGTTCTTTTAACAAATTACTTTTAAATACTAACTCTCATTCATTATACCTCTAATAATTTGGATAAGTAATTGGGAGGTCTAATCTTTAATATTTTAGATTAGTTATTGGGGGGTCTAACCTCTAATAATTTGGATAAAAAACTGGGTATTTTCTATCTAATATAATGAAATTTTTGAAGTTGTTACAAAATATTTTAAAAAATTTTATGTTGTAGAATCTTCGATTAAAAAATCAACCATATACGTGGGATATAGATCGATCAAAAAATATTGCATCTGAGTTACAAAGTCTTTCAATGTCTACTACAGAAAGATTACCAATAAATGTAAATAACTTGCAGCAACCAATCATCATTGCAATATTAAATAAACCTGAAAAAATTAGGGGATATAACTTGTCTTTATCTGCCCCAGAAGAACCTAAGGTGTTGTCCCTTAAATTGACATCCAGCTTATGCAATATGATGTTGAAATTTAGTGCATCCAATGATCCTAGTAATTTGACTTTTCTCATTGTATTTCTTCAGTTTGGAAAAGTTCCTACAAAAAATGATTATGATATTAGGCTTAATATATCAAACAAAGATGGCGTTGTTCTTACAAAAAATAGGCTTGCTATGAGTTTTAATGCAAGTGAAGAAGTATCATTTGGTCAAAAAAATAACCTTACCAACAGTGAGATTAAAAATTCTTCTTTTTTTGTTGAAAGAAATCAACAAGCTCATCTACTTGATGGTGGTACTTTAATTTTGTGGGATTTTCAGAATTCAACATATGCTTTTCTTAACAATTCAGTTTTGTATATATCATTCTTCTATGTTGGTCCTATGCCAGCTAAAAAATTGGAAGAAAATTCATATACTTATGATGAAAAGGAATACGAAGGGGAGTTCATTTATGAAATGAAATCTTATTGCAGTGAATGTAATTACTGGAATGAAATATCAAATAAGTGGATGTCTGATGGATGTCAAGTACAATATATATTTTTTTATATAAATTGTAATTTCTTACAATTTTTACATATACATATAATGTAAAGATTGAGTTAAACATTTCAATAATCTCGTTAATAATGTTAATCTCGTTTTTATTGAATTTTAAATTGTATTTACTTTTATTTAACCGCATACCCATCTTTTTTTTAAATTTAAGTTCAAAAGCAACGCTATTATGCATGAGCAAAAATAATATAAAATTGCATAAATTTAAAATATTTTAGCTTGACTTTGAAACAACCAGCTTTGAAGTAACAAAGTGTAAATGTAAACACTTGACTGGATTTGGTGGATTTTATGTTGCTCCAAACGTTATTCAGAAACCGTCATTAGCATTATTGAAAAAGGGTTATCTTCTTCTAGTAATTGTTACAATAATTTTGTTGTTTTGGATTTGTGGTTTAATATTTGCAAGACGAATGGATATAAAAGACAACACTAAAGTTAGTTTTTTGTCTTTAATATTATACATTTTATATACTTTACAAGTTTTAGTACAAATGTGCAGAGTGTTACAGTTTTATAATTATATTCAGTATCATACTATGTTCTCATATAATTTTATAGTTATTATGTGTTTGTGTTGATATATTTTATATAAATATTTACTATTGTATCAGGAATGCCTATTCTAGGAAAAAAATTTTAGCGAAATTCTGGCGAACTTTAGCTAAAAATTAGCAGTTTTTCAGCAAAAATAACTATATTTGCCATAAAAAACGTAAACAAAAAAAAAAGGTCCTCGAATTTTAATTTGGGCGACGCCCAAATACGGTTGACGCTGTTGAAAATGGTCTAGAATAGCCTCTGAGTATTGTTTAAAAAAATAGATTTATTTAAAACTATGTTTCTATGTTTTATGGTCTTACCATAAAACATAGAAACAAGGTTGGCAGTCTTTTTCCTACCTCAAACAGGTTTTATATTGATCGAACTTTGTTTCACATTGTCAACATTCTTTATACCTCTGAGTAGATACTGAAAGAACTAAAACGGTCTCATACATAACTCATTTTTACAAAAAACTGGACAACCGACCTTTGTCTTCTGAGGTACAGATATATAACTTTATATACGCAATTATTAGTAAAAAGCAGCTCATAATGACTCTTAGTATTTAAAAAAGATAGGTACTATCTTTTGATTCTCAAAGACTCCAATAATCACATACTTGGCTTCCAAGTATGAGTATGGAGTATACAGATGCATCAATTCACCTATTAGTCGTGAAATCAGGTTTGAACCAGTTAACCATCCTTTTATATGCTTTTGCTTAGCACTCCTTCACTCTATTATCTTACTCTTTGTTCTTTATTGTTCTCCTTCTTCCCAAGACTGCACTGTCTTAGATATAATCTCTGATCAAATTGATCATGCCCTTTCTCTTTACTCCTCTACCAATATTGCTATTATTGGTGACTTTAATGCTCATCACTCTGATTGGGTTGGTTCTAACACCACTGACCCTGATACCATTAAAGCCTATAACTTCTGCATTTCTAAATTTCTTACTCAAATAGTTAAATTTGTGACTTGTTTTCCAGACAATCCTAATCACTTACCTTCACTCTTCGATTTTTGTCATGTCTCTAACCCTAGCTTTTGTTCAGTTTTTTTTTTTTTTTCCTTTAGGTGGTTTCAACCATGTAATGTTCTTTATAAATCTTTAATCTCATACTTCTTTTTCGGACCCTATTATTGCACTACTTACTATTACCCTTAAATTGACTGAGATTCGTCTCACTATTTTCTTTGTGATGGTCATTGTATTTATGTTTTTTCTCTCTCCGCTTATAAAGGCAACTTCTACATTTTCCTGGATCCAGATAGGAATCGAAAGTTTTATTACTTTTTGTTAGTTTAAATTCAAGCCTTATTCTACTCCATGATTTTTACTTTCTTGTGCAGCTGCTAAATCTAATTGTAATCATTTTTTTTTTAAGTATTTTTTAAAAGAATAACTCTCTTGTGAACTTTTTGCTTATTTATTGTCACAAGAAATCAATGTAAAAAGGTGCTGTCTGATGCTAAGACCCTTATTCTCAGTTCACTAAATCTTTTATCTTTCCTCATAAGTTTCACTCTTTAGACTTTTGGAAAATTTTTAACAGTGTTTTTAACAAAGGTAGGTCTAACATTCTAATTCTCATTCATAGGATTGATCTTATAACCCTCCCAAGGACAAGGCTGAACTATTTGCAAAAAAACTTTTTTATAATTTGACTCTTGAATCTTATGGCTACACTCTTCTTTCCATTCCAGTTAAGCAGGTTGACCAATTGTTGAACTTTTGAATTACTCCAGCTTCCATTTGTAAAATTATATTCAATTATTCTATGGCTTCTAGTCCAGACAACATTCCTGTTATAGTCTTACGTAAGCGTTCTTCTGAACTCTCTTCAATTTTCTTTTGACTATTTAATAAGTGCTTCTATGAATCTTGCTTTCCTGCCTGCTGGAGAATGGCATCTGCGGTTTCAATTTTTAAAATGTCTGGTGAACATTCTGACCCCTCCAACAATTGTCCAATCTTCTATTTGTTAGTCTTTAATCAACAAATTTCTAACATTTTGAGTCAAGTAACTTACTATCAGCCAAAGTTTTTTTCAAATCTTTTTTTTTTAACCGCTTTATTAAAGTCATCCTTGAAGGCCAACACTCTTCTTCATTTCCAGTAACTTTCAGGGTACCTTAAGGTTCTATCCTTGTTCCTGTTTTGTTTCTTATCTATATTAATGATATTCCTATCAATCTTACATCTGAAGCGGCATTATATGCTAATGAAGTTTTTTTGTTTTGATTTCTTAGAACAGGCAGCCATCTCGAATCTGATTTCACCTCTGTAACAGCTTGCAGTAGCTTGTAAATTTCAACTCCAACAAAACTTAGTTATTTACTCCAAACAACTATTCCAATACTGTTGACATTCCTATATTAATAAATGGCTACCGTCTGGCTAAATCCTCTTCTTAACCTCTTCTTGGATTGTTATTCACTATTGACCTCTCATGAAAACAATATAAATACAATTGATTGTTAAGTTAGCATCTGCTAAGGTTGCTTCTCTAATCCTGCTCATCATTTACTCTCTCCTGATTCCATTCTCAACTTCTATAAGTCTCTTATTTGCCCCTGTATGGAATGCTGTTGTCATATTTAGGCTGGTTCTTCTAATGATGCTTTTTTTTTCTAGACAAGGTGCAAAAATGCATTGCAAATGTAGTTGGACCTGCTTTATTTGCCAAGCTTGAGCCTCTTTCTCATTGTCATAAAGTTACATATCTTTCTCTATTTCTCAAATACTATCATGGTCGCTGCTCAAATGAGCTATTATTTCTAGTTTCATCAACCAAAACTCATTCTTGCTTGACTCCTCATTCAGCTAAGTTTCATCCTTTTTCTGTCTCTGGCCCTTTGTGCTCTAAAAATTTGTCTAGTTTTATTCCCTGCACTTCAACCCTTTGGAACTCTCTCCCAGCTTCTTGTTCTTCTAACTCATACAATCTACGATTTTTCAAGACTTCTGTCGTTTTCTTGTTCTTTAACTTTTCAATTTCTTGTTTTCCTAAATTATTTGCCTTGTTGGGAGTGAATCTGATTTTTTTTTTTTTTTAAAAAAAACCAAAAATAAGAGTTAAAGATACAAAGAAGTTTACATCATAATTATTTTTTGTTTTAAATGTTTTAAACTGCTCAATAAGGTCTTCTTTAATTCTCCACTGTTCTAGAGTTGTGGTACAAGGCTGGCAGTTTAGCATATATTTATCATAAGTCAAGTGTTTATTATAGACATAATTGTCTTAAATCCCTTAGTGACTTGAAGCTTAGTTTTCTGAAGATTTGTTTTCTTAAGGTGAGGCAACCAAGGCTTTTTCAAACTTATGAGCATGCAGTTTGCATTTGATACCGTCGTTTTTACTTAAAATTGCACTTTCAGGTCATCTAATACCATTATCTCAAGGTTGTTTTCAATACTAGTGATCTCAAGTGTTTGACAAGATCCAAACATCTAAATTATTGAAAAGTCTTTTGTTTCATATTGACCTAAATGCATCATATTTATCAACATTATATAGTATATACCAATTTTAAGAACATTCAACTGTTTCATCTAGATCTGCTTGTATAGAGTCCTCATCTTTAAGAGGCTTAATGATTTCAATAATTTTTATGTCATTTGCATATAGCTTGAAGTAGTTATTTATTTTGTCTGGTGAAAACCTTCTGATGTATGATTATGACATCCGTCTGATGTATGATCATTAACGACTACTTTTTGCTTCTACCCAAATTTAACCAAAAATTAACCAAAGTTTAATCTGATTTAGCAGAATATAATGAATACCATATGCTTTAAGTTTTAAACTAGTCTTTGGGGTACTTTGTCAAATGACTTGGAGAAATTTGTTTATATAACAATCCCAGCTTAGCCATGGTGCACCGCTACCATTTAATTATATCCCACAAATATTGTGGGATATAAGCAAATTTGTCTGACATTCCCTCTTTGGAACAAAACTGTGTGGTGCTTCAGTAATAAGAACATTTTTTCTACAAAAAGCATAATTTTCTTGTGTAATTATAAAAATTTTCACTTTAATTATAAAATTTTTATAATATGCATATTTTTTCACATCAATTTATATAAATTTATTAGTATGCTTTTAAATCACTTTCATTTTTAAAATGCCAACTTTAATCTAATAACCTACTTCCAATTTTCATTGTTTCAATAAGTGTTTCAAAAGTTTCACTGTTTTCAGGGAAAAATAGAACATAAAAAGATTAGGTATAAAAAAACTTGTTTCGATAAAACAAATGTTCTTCATAATAGATATTGCAGCATTATCCTCCAAACAAAACTCCCCACCCACAATACAGATTGCTATTTCAGTATGATGCCATTAATGTTTTATGCGCTGCTAACTTAGCATAATATAAATAACTCTTAAAGCAGATCAGGGTGAACCAATCCAGACTAAAAAAAAGTACATTGTTCAGTAAAAAAAAGGATAAAACAATGAAGAAAATCACAATAGTGTTTAAATCCATTAACAAAACATTGCAAAGTACCCATCACATAAATTAATTAGTTATGATTATTATTTATTAGTATAATATTTATAACAATAGTTATTCTTATTGTTAATAAATTTGTGTGATGCAGATTACTGAGTGAAAAATTATTTTCAAACAAATTATTTCAGGTTGAAATTTTTTTCTGAGTTGTATCCTTTTTTTTTTTTTTTAATATCTTGGCTAACTTTTTATAGTATTTTCTTCTAGTACATTTTTCTGCTTCTTTTTTTTTATAGTATGGTGTTTGTCCACTTCCTGATAATTCTCCTGAAGATAGCTATTTATACCAGATTACTGTGAATACTGGTGATCGTATTCATGCTGGTACAAATTCAAAAATATTTTTTATATTAGCTGGTAAGCTTGAAGAAAATTATTTTAAAAAAATATTTATTTTTTAAAAAGTCAATAGATAAACTGTATCTGCAATTTCAAACTCTGCATAAATTAAATTTCAAACTCTCATAAATTAAAAAAAAAAATCTTGAGAGGTACATTAAAATTTTTTTAGAAAAAACAATCTTGACAGGTTTATTAATATTTATATCTTGATAGGTTTATTAATATTTATATATATATAAGAGATATATCCCAGCTAGCACACAAGCATTGGGCCAACGTCAGCTGTTTTTTCCGACGCAAATCTAACATTGATTGAATGTTAGATTTGCTATTATTGTTGTAAAAATTATTAAGTGAAAAAAAATGTTGTTCCTATTATTGTTGTAAAAATTAATAAGTGAAAAAAAATGTTACGAAGAAGACATTAGACAATGAATTATCAAAATATTATTGAAGTATATTAAGTATTTAAAATAGATAACCCTCATTATTTAAGTAATAAATGCTGGTTAGTTTAAGGTTGGGGGAAGGAGAGCAAAAATTTTTTCCAACCATGATACCTAAAATGTAGGGTTTGGAACTTAAGCGCATATCAGCGAATATATGTGCATACCATACAAAAGTAATGCGCATAATTATGCGCATACAAATTTAACAGATGAATGTTATCTGAAATTAATTAAATATTGTCAAATATATTAGAAAATGTTTTCTAATATAAATATATTAGAAAATGTTTTAAAAGAAAGAGTTTTTCATTTGATTTTCTGTAATTACTTTTATTACTAAATATTTCAATTTATTTTCATTATTTTCAAAGGAATTTCTATATAACAAAACTAAACAATTTAACTTTTTTTTGTATCACATTTGCTCATTTATAATTTATTCACACTCAAACTTGCTGAAAACTGCTTCTTACTCTAAAATGTGGTTGTTTTTGTTATTCATATCCATCAAAACACTATTGGTATATATGAAAATTTTTGTTTGTCAGTGTTGTCATTTTTCCAACAAATTCAATTATTTCACTTTTAACTGTCTCAGCAACTGCTGGATTCGTTTTGGAAGTTAATTCTGAAATTGAACTGATTATATCAGTCTTATCTTTACCAAAAAAATCCTTTTGCAGCATATTTTAATGTAAGCATATTTTAAAGCAAATAGTAATAATAGCGAAGTTAAAGTGCTTCATAACTGTTTCCTGGATAATTTCCTCATTTGCAAATATCTTGTACATTACACCAAAATAATAGTAACCCAAGATCGCCATTTTCAAAGTCTTCCAATGGTATTAGATGGTTGTTTGATATCTTTTCCAAGTTTTGCTAAACGATCCCAAAAAACATTTGATTTAATTAGGGTTAAAACTGTGGCTGGATTTTGTTTTTGGAGCAATTTTTTCAAAGATACATTTTCCTCATCTGCAAGTTGAATTAAAACATACTTAGCTATACAAAGGTTGTTCATTGAATTAAAATGACTGAGCCATTGAGTTGAAACAGGCATTGTGAGTGAGCAAGGAATATTAGCTGCGATTCTCTTTTTGTCAAAACTTTGCTATAACAATGTGATGATATTTTACAAATTTGATTATTTTCTCAGCTTATTTAATATTCTTTGAACTTTCAGCAGTGTCAAAATGTCCTTAACAAAAGATTCATATCATGTGCTGCACAGCTCATGATATGTGCTGTGCAGCACATGATATGAATCTTTTGTTAAGGACATATGAATCTTTTGTTTTGTGGGCCTAGAGTCTCAGTTACTTCAACCAGCAACAGCTGTAGCATTTTGAATTATGTCCAATGTGTTGATTGAAGTATAAAAAAACAGTTTTGTATTTAGTGTCTTGATACAAAAATTTACTATATGATTGCAACCAATACTTGTCCTACCATCACTGACTTCATTTTTGTACACGGTATTGATGATGCATACAATGGATTAAGTGCTTTAGTCTAATCCTTGAAACTTCAGATTCAACAAGACAGAGAGATATTCCAGTTCATAAAAAGAAATTTGCTAATTTCATATCGATTTCATGTTTTAATTCTTCAGTATTCATCACATTGTCGACTACTTATATGTTTCAGTTGAGATTATAATGTAGTTGATTGATGATTCCGCTTTTTGTTTTACAAACAATTGTTTCTCATCTTCACAAGCGTTTGGACATGATGTTTGTTTATGTGCTGCAAAAACGTCTAATTAACCTATATATCATTAAATTTTTCATTGTTTCACTTATCTCTTTAATTAAAGCACTTAACTTTTAATTCCGCTATTAAAGGTTTTAATTAAATTATTAAAAAAATTAAAGGAATTAAAACTTATTAATTATAAAAGTGGTTCAGTTTTAATAAATCATCAGTTTTAATTTAAAACTGGTAGTTTTTTTGTTTCCTAAATTTAAAGTTTTATGTAAACTAGAATTAAAATTTGTTTTTTTGTCTGTCTAGTCAAAACATTTTAACGGTTTTTGGTAATTTGAAATTAAAAAAAAGTTATGCGCATAATTATGTGAATGTATGCTCATAACTTATCGGCGAGTATGTGCACATAGAAATTTTTCCAAACCCTACTAAAATGTTATTTGTGTAAACATCATTAAAAAAATATCTTGAGGTTATTATATATATTATATATATTGTATTGAAAAGTTTATATAAAAGTTTGCTTTAAAATAAGTGATCAGTTTTTTATCAAACATATAGTAAAAATAAAAATATTTCGTAAATTGAGGTTTTATTTTAAATTTATCTAAATATTTTGAAAAATCATGTCTATTTTATTTGATTTGTAAAATCCTACCATTCTTCTACATAACTTTTTTAAAAGAAAACAATCTAATACACATTTTGGTTTTATTATTTTCCTTTTGAAACATTTTGATGTATAAATCACACATATGAAACCATGGATGTGTCATTATCATTATAATCATCGTCATCATCATCATCATCATTATCACCACTATAATCATCATGCAACATCTTGTTTTATTTTTTTAAATTCAAGTTTTGTAATTTGTATTTTTATTTTTATTTTACTTTTTATTTATAATTTTTCCCTTTTTTTTGTGCTAATTTTAAAGTTTTTTATAGGAGATATTTCAAAAACGAAGACACACAGGCTGATTGATTCTGAAAGACAATGTTTTCAAAGATCAGCTTCTGACTCTTTCATATTAACAACACCAAACTGTTTGGGTGATCTAACTTATATTCGACTTTGGCATGATAATAAAGGTGGTGGTTGGTACTTAAGGTAAATTTTAATTAAAGTGACGATATTACCTCCATAATATCGTTATGAAAAATAGCAGCCAACATGTATATTTTGCATGTAATCAATTTTTTTATAACATTTTGTTTAAGAAATGTTGAAGTTCTTGACCTACAAACAGACAAACGATATTATTTTATGGCGAAATGTTGGATTGCAATCGATAAAGGTGATTGTTTATTAGATGTTACAATACCAGTATCAGCTTCTGATGAGTTGACACATTTTAGTTATCTGTTTACAACAAGAGTGCGAAATGATTTTTTTGAAAAACATTTGTGGTTCTCTGTTTTTACTCGTCCACCAAGAAGTATTTTTAATCGTTGTGAACGATTATCTGTTGCTGTTTTATTAGTCGTTGTGCAAATGACTGCTAGCACCATGTTTTATGGCAAAGTGTCAAATGATCCAGTAAATAATAATAAAGTATTGGGAATAAATTTTTCATGGCAACAGGTTTGTCATATACAATAATAATTTTTTAATATTTCATTCCAGTTTTTTATCAAATAGAATTTAATTTTAGTATTAAATTTAAAAAAACTATTGCAACTTATGAAAAAAAACTTTTAACAAAGAACTTTTATGTGAATTCTGTTTCATGTTTTAGTAAAAAGGTTTTTAATCATTACAAAGGACTATTGACTGATGGTTTAAAAAGTTGATACAACAAACATTGATCAACATGCTACAAATTATAATGGTATACTATAAATACCTACCATTAAAATGCAAATGTTGGTGCAATTGTTAGGGATTTTGAGCAAAAAGTTTAAAGATCTAATCCACCATTCACTAATATTGATATCAACATTTTCTTTAAAGCTGTGCTTTTCTTGATTTGTGTTTGATATTTTTCCATTTTTTTTTTATTTTTTTTTTTTTTACTTTGTTTACCTCCTTCAGACCTTGGGTGTCACTATAAGTCTTATTATTATTATTATTATTATTATTATTATTATTATTATTATTATTATTATTATTCTAAAATCTTTCAACGCATTAACTCCAAAACACAAATCTTTATAAAAAAGAACACTGTGTGGAGAAACAAGTTAAATGCAGCACTACCATGGACATGTTGAGGATCAAACTCTTCTTATTTACAAAAAAGCACTCTATTGCTACATTATTACCCCTTCATATTTTTTTACATGAAGCAGCAGTAGTTTCATTACATGTTAGGAAGTTTTTGTATTTTTTATGATGTTTATAATGTCTTTTTATTATATAAAATCTTTTTTTAGATTTATGTTGCATTAATTTCTGCATGTATTACAGTTCCAGTAGAATTAATTTTTGTTCATGTGTTTCATTTGATAAATCCATTTTACAAGTTTGCTCTGAAAAAAAAAGGTAAAACTTTTAATAATACAATTTTTAATATCTTAATGCATAAAAATACAACAATAAAATTTTTTTTTTTTGTTTATTAATAAAAATATTTACATTATTAAACAATATTTACAAAATAAATTTTTGTAGATTTTGGTTAGTGGTATAATAAGTCAAATAAGAATTTAAGAGAACTTTTCTGATAAGAACCTTTTCTACTTTTTTTTTTACATTATTAAGGTGTATCGTCTTATTAACAAATTTTTTGATTCAGTGAAGCTTAAATTTATTTTTTGGATTGTGCTTTGGTTTAAAAATTTGAGTTGAATTCATTTTTAGTTTATGCTCTATTTGTGTTACATTGATTTTAAAACATCCCAAATTTTAATTTGAACTCTGCAATTTAACTATTTTGCCTAAAGTTGTGCTTGGACCAGGTGTATCTTTCTGGAGATGATTTTAATATTTTAAATTATAATAGTTAACGAATTATCATCATGATTCATAAAACTTATAATTAATAAATGGTATCATTAAATTCAGTTATAAACAATTTTTTTAGAGGTAAAATTGTTTGTAATTTATATAATAGTTATAATTTATTTATAATTTTAATATTTAGTAATGTTAGTTAGCATCAACTTCCAACATAGGATATTAGATGCTATATTAGCTTCTAGTGCAAATCCAGCTTGTTCTTGAACTGGTTAGTCGACTTGAAATTGACAATGCAGTCAGGAAGCTTGTTCAAACCTAATGCGATTGGTTGGTAAAAAAAATATTTCTTTGATAACAGTTTTTAATTATTTCTTATCCTAGTTTCAATAATCTGCTAGTTGGCTTTGTTGTGAATCTGCACACTTTTAAGGATGTAAAATCGAGAATCTTGAGTCTGCGTTTATAAAGCTTTTTTAAGGCATGAAAAAATTTTGTAACTCTCCATTGAATTTCTTTTATAACTAATTCTACTATAACTAATAAAAAATAAACTTGAATTTTTATTCTAATAATTTTTATTATAACTAACTCTGCTAACCAGCCTCGAACCCCTTCTTCATCTATTAGGCTGGCGTAGATGTAACCTGTGTTACATTGTTTCCTGCCTAGGATGATAAATGCTGGATCTCTTTGACTCTACTCATAGAATTTTGCTTATGCCTCCTTGATAATGGCTATGCAACTCTTCCTGTTATCTCCATATGAGGGTACAGCTCTAAAACTCAGTTTAACGGTTCTGACGCCAGCTGGTAATAAGGTTTCTCGAACTCTGTGGTAGCTCTCAGAGAGTGCCATGTTGTGCATGGATGGTGTCCCTGTTAATGCTAATGCTATGTCACGGCTTAGGGTAATTAACAGGACTGAGACAACTGCATAGCTCATTGATTAGGAGGCAGTGCTCTATCTAATAATGAGTCAAGTTCTCATTAAACCCAAATCATGACCAAAGTAACCAAAAATTTTAAACCTAAAAAACCATCGCCACCACCTAAATGTTTTAATATATGTTTTACAAATATTCGTGGTCTGCGAAGCAACTTTCCGTCAGTTGAATCTTACCTCCTGCAAAATTCACCAGACTTGCTTGCACTCAGTAAAACAAATTTAAATTCTGCAATTCCTTCTTCAGATTCAGTGTTGATGGGTACTATTCTTTGATTCGCAAAGACTCCAATTGTCACATGCTAGGTTTAGGGGTATACATATGCATTAATTCCCCTATTTGTCATGAAATCAGGTTCGAATCCTTTGACCATTCTTTTATGTGCTTTCGCCTAGCATCTCTTCACTCTATCACCTTTCTCTTTGTTCTTTATCGTTCTCCTTCTTCCCATGAAATTGACCATGTCCTCTCTCTTTACCCCTCTGCCTATTGTTGTTGTTGGTGATTTTAATGCCCATTACACTGAATGGCTTGGCTCTAACACCACTGATCCTGCTGGAACTAAAGCCTTTAACTTCTGCGTTTCTCAATCTCTTACTCAGATAGTTAACTTTGTGACTCGTTTTCCTGACAACCCTAATCATTTACCTTCATTCCTTGACTTATGTCTTGTCTCTGACCCTAGCTTTTGTTCAGTTTCTCCCTTTTCTCCCTTAGGTGGTTCTGACCATGCAATGATCTCTATAAATCTTTCTTCTCGTACTTCTTTTTTGGGCTCACCTTATCATCGTACCACCTACTACTACCCTAAAGCTGACTGGGATTCTTTTCGTGATTTTCTTCGCGATGGTCCTTGGGCTGATGTTTTTTCTCTTTCAGCTGATAAATGCACCTCCTACGTAACCTCCTGGATTCAGGGTGGAATGGAAGCTTTTATTCCTTCTTGTCAGTTTCAAGTCAAGCCTCATTCTACTCCATGGTTTTCTCCTTCTTGTGCAGCTGCTATATCTAATCGTAATCATTTTTTTCATCTTTTTCAAAAGAACAACTCTCTTGAGAACAAAAAGTTATTTTTTATTGCAAGAAATCGATGTAAAAAGGTGCTTTCTGATGCTAAACTCCATTATTCTTAGTTCACTAAATCTCGCATCTTATCACAGAAGTTAGGCTCTAAAGACTTTTGGAAAATCTTCAACAGCATTATTAACAAGGGTAGATCTAACATTTTATCTCTCATTCATGGGACTGATCTTATTACCTCTCCCAAGGATAAGGCAGAACTATTTGCAAAGAACTTTTCTTCTAATTCCACTCTTGAATCTTATAGACATTCTCTTCCTTCCATTCCAGTCAAACAGGTTGACCCATTGTTAGACATTCAAATCACTCCGGCTTCTGTTGCTAAAGTCATATCTCAATTAAACTCGTCTACACTTTGTGGTCCAGACAACATTCCTGTCATGGTCTTGCAGAATTGTTCTCCAGAACTTTCTTCAATTCTCTCTAAACTATTTAACAAGTGTTTGACTGAGTCTTGTTTTCCTGCTTGTTGGAAAATGGCCTCTGCAGTTCCAATATTCAAAAACTCTGGAGAAAATTCTGACCCCTCCAACTATCGTCCCATCAGTCTTCTTTCTGTTATTAGCAAGGTCTTTGAGTCTTTGATCAACAAATTCCTCACATATCATCTTGAGTCAAATAAACTACTGTCAGACAATCAATATGGTTTTCGATCCTCTCGCTCTACGAGGGACTTGCTAACTGCTGTAACTGAAAGATTTTATCCTGCCTTAGATGGAGGCGGTGAGGCTAGGGCTATTGCTCTTGACATATCTAAAGCTTTCGACAAAGTTTGGCATGCTGGTCTTCTCCATAAACTTGCCTCATATGGTGTTTCTGGGAAAATTTTTGAGATTATCAAACCATTTCTTTCTAACCGGTTTATTAAAGTCATCTCTGAAGGCCAACACTCTTCTTTATTTCAAGTAACTTCTGGGGTTCCCCAAGGTTTCATCCTGGGCCCTGTTTTGTTTTTTATCTACATAAACAATCTTCCTGACAACCTTTCATCTAAAGTAGCTCTTTTTGCTGATGACTCAACTTTATACTCCTGTCTTGACAAAAAGTCTTCTCTTTTCGATCGCCTAGAACAAGCAGCTGATCTTGAATATGATCTCACTTCAGTAATAGATTGGGGTTCACAGTGGCTTGTGAATTTCAACTCTAATAAAACCCAATTGCTTACTGCAAACAACTTCCGTAATATGGTCAACATTCCTATATTAATGAATGGCAATCCTCTTACTGAGTCGTCCTCTTTACGTCTTCTTGGATTATTGCTTACTACTGACCTTTTGTCGAAACCATATATACAATCGATTACTAAATTAGTTTCTGCTAAGGTTGCTTCTCTTTATCGTGCTCGCCATTTCCTTACTTCTGATTCCGTTCTCTACCTCTACAAATCTCTTATATGTCCCTGTATGGAATACTGTTGTCATATTTGGGCTGGTTCTTCTAACGATTCACTTTCTCTTCTTGACAAGGTCCAAAAACGCATTGTAAATGTTGTTGGACCTGGACTATCTGCTGAGCTTGAGCCTCTTTCCTATTGTCGTAAAGTTGCATCTCTTTCTCTTTTCTACAAATACTATCATGGTCACTGCTCAAAGGAGTTATTATCTCAAGTTCCATTAACTAAAATTCATTCTCGTTTTACTCGTCATTCAGCCAAGTCTCATTCTTTACTGTATCTGTCCCTGCATGCTCTAAAAGCTTTTATTCATCTGGTTTTTTTCCCCGCACTTCAATCCTTTGGAACTCTCTCCCATCTTCATGTTTTCCTGACTCATACAACCAACTTTTCAAGTCTTCTGTCAATTGTTTCCTTGCTCTATAACTCTGTTCTTTTTTTTGCTAGTAACTCCCAACTTAATAGTGGTTGCTTGCAGCTTTGTTGGGAGTGAATGCAAATAAAAAAATTAAAAAAAAATATTGTAAATATTGCAAATAGTGTTGCAGAACTTTGTTGTATGCAACTTGTTACTTTAATCCAACATGAAACTTTTTTACCCCGAACTAATCTTTGGCTTTTATTAGAATGGAACACTTCAATCCAGTGTATCAACACTGATTCCCTATTTTATAAGTCTATAGAGTAGACTCTTATGGTACACTTTGCCAAAGACTTTAGCAAAGTTGAGATATAGAATGTTAAGTGATATTTTATTTGCTAATCATTTTGTGGTAAAGTGGAGACTTTCCAGGAGATTTTTAATTCAATATTTTCGATGGTCTTTGCAGATTAGTTTGTTACTTGTGAAGCAGTAAACTGTTTTTTTTTAAAGTAAATTTTTCTTTTTGATTTTTATTAATGATTGCATAAATGTTGATAAAAAATTTATTTTAGATTATCAACATGCTATCAACATGCAATCAAAATTTGAAATTAATGAATGAAAAAAAAATTAATTATTGAAAAACCTATAAGTAATAAAAAATAGCAAATTAGAATGAGGGGTATTTTTATCACAAATTCTTGCCTTTAGTTTTTTATTTTTTTTTTTTACTTAAATATTTAGAATTATTTACAAGTTTAGGTAAAAAAATTTAGTTGTAAATTTAAACAATTAAAAAAAAAATGTTATAACTTTTTTTTATCAATATTAAGATATAGAATCCAATACTTGTTCAACGTTTGATGAGAATAATTTCAAGAAAGAAATCAAGAAAAAAAAAGGTTTTTATTTACCTTATTGGGCAAAGTATGTCACATGGTCTCTTTGTGTTATTGCAATTCTCTCATGCAGTTGTGTTGTTTTGTTATTTGGAATGTCTTTTGGAAATAAAAAGTCTTTAGATTGGTTAATAAGCGTAATACTATCAATGGTAAGACTTTATTTTTAAGCAAATTAAAATATTTATAAATTTTATTGTTCTGTTTTTAGTTTTAGCCACATTGTTATATATGTATAACAATGTCACTAATATATAATGTAATCTAATATATATAATATATATATATATATATATATATATATATATATATATATATATATATATATATATATACATAGTTTTTTTTATTATGATTAATAATTAGAGGCATCTGCATCAGGGCTGTTCAGTATGCTAATTTGTTTTCAGAACATAGCTAATTGAAGTTTTTCCCATTCAACTATCATATTGTGGTTCAAAAATATTTTTTACTAAATTTTATTATTTGCCCTGAAGGTCACTCAAAGCCCCATTTGACATTTGACAGGTCCCTAATATTATTAAAAAAAAAATTATTTAAAAATATGTCAACTTGGTACTCAAAAGAAGCAAAATTTTATAAAAATTTTAAAAATTAGATTCATTTTTATAAAAAACAACTTAAATATATTTAAAAACAATATGACGTATTGTAAATAAACTTATTATTAAAAATGTTGTGAATATTACCTTTTTTTCATTTTTCGTTTAAAAACCATAGTTTTTATTCAAAAAAACCTAATATTGTTTTTTTTATAAAAAATACTTTTTGTTTTTGAAATTTTTAAATGATTCTGCTTCTTTTGAGTACCAAGCTGACATATTTTTAAATAATTTTTTTTTCAATAATATTAGGGACCTGTCAAATGTCAAATGGGGCTTTGAGCGACCTTCAGGGCAAATAATAAAATTTAGTAAAAAATATTTTTGAACCACAATATGATAGTTGAATGGGAAAAATTTCAATTAGCTATGTTCTGAAAACAAATTAGCATACTGAACAGCCCTAATCTGCATCTCAAATCAAGTTCAAATAAAACAAAATCTCAAATCAAAACAAAATATAACAAAATAATAAAACTTATTGTTTTAATAAAACGGATAAAAAACTAAGTATTTTTAATATGTATACATATACATATATATATATATATATATATATATATATATATATATATATATATATATATATATATATATATATATATATATATATATACATATATATATCTTAGGGATTATCCATAAAGTACATACACTCATAGGGGGAGGTCTTCAAAAAGCGTACAAAAGCATTTGGGGGGGGGGGGTTCAATTTAAAAGTACGTACTTCAATTTTCTAATTTATCACAGTTAACCAGCTAATCAATAGAAAGGTTAAAACTCCGACTAAAGATCTTAGTTTGCCAACATAAAAAGATGTATGGTATAGGAAGTAGAGGGTATAGTTTCCCTCTATTCACACGTATGGGCGCCCGCAGGATTTTTTGATGTTCCAGATAAGACACTTTCACTCATTGTGCAAACTTTAAACTTAAATTCCTCATTTGGCATTGGTAAATAATATTTATACCTATGCCAAATAAGGAAACCTTGCAAAAAATCGGGACAGCCGAAGCCTGTGAACAAAAAAGCCCTAAAACGTCTGCTCCCTTCCCCTCCTGCTTAAACGTGAGAACACTAATGCAGTTAAATTTTCAACTTTACTATCTAAAACTAAACTTAAACTTATTGATAGATTTTAAATTTTGTAGAAAAGTATTGTAAATAAGAAAAGTTATGACCATGCAAATATTTTAACCCCCCCCCCCCTCTTATTTTGGGAAGTTAAAAAATTTTCACGGTTATAAATTTTGCCTTAAAATCTTCCAAATTTTACCGCTAGATTTTGCTAAAATTAAAAGCTCCTTAAATTAGCAAAAGGGCACAAAATTTGTTGCTTCTGCCCTTCCCTCCCTCCCCCCATCCCCCTCAATTAAGGAGTATGAGTAGCCTACCCTAAGCACTGGGTTTTAGGCTTTGTTTTCAATATTACTGATCTCGTGTAAAACTCGTTTTTTACAGACTTGCTAAAGAGGAGTGCTTGAAAAAAATGTCCGCCTTTAGTATAGTTTATTTTTGTTTGATCCCTCATTAAAACAACAATATGACTTGCGGGGAATCGATCTCCGCTCTCCGCGGTCGATGTTTATAACATTAACCTCTCAGCTAAACACACATATTGTTATTGAGGAGTTTAACTTTATTAAAATTAATATTTGTGTATATACTTAAAGGCGTTTTTAAATAGGAATCTTGTGCTGCAAACAAAGGGCTTTGGGTTTATAAAAAGTATCTAAGGTACTTTCTCCAACTTTTTTTTTTAATAAACTTTTTTTATTGAAAAAAAGAAAAATTGGGGAGGGGTATTTGAAATACGTATGTACTTTTTAAGGGGGGTGGAGACTTGAAATTACGCATTGCTATAGGGGGAGGGGAGAGGGTCAAATTTCAAAGTTTTTGGTGTACATACTTTATAGACGACCCCTTACCAAGGAGATAGAAAACTCTGATAAAATCCCAGTTGAGTTAATTAAAAATATTGGCAAGAGAAGTTTGCAAACTTAACCTTCTAATTCAGGCTTACATAACCTTCTACTTCAGGCTTGGTCGGGAAGCGGCAGCGATCGCTCTTGATTGCTGACCACGTAAATAATATTTAGTTGTAGGATATGCCTTTTTAGGCAAAGGCTAGGAGATGCAAACTCCGACATAAAACACCCCCTGCCTTGGGGCTCTTGGTTGAGTAAAGGCTAGAGATGGTGTCTCGATAAAAATACTCATCTTAGGCAGATGTTACATGCATCCGGCTGCTGTCTTGTAGAAGGCCTCCTAGGCAAAGACTTAAGGGGTAAACAGATTCTATCTGTTGACCAGCCTCGCACCCCTTCGTCATCTATTAGGCTGGCGCAGATGTATTTTTAATACATTGTTTCCAGTTTAGGATGTTGACGCTGGATCTTCTTGACTCGATTCATGGGTTTTGCTTGTGTCTCTGCTTTTATGACTAGGCAACTCATTCTATTATATCCAAATGAGGGTACAGCTCTAAAACTCAGTTTTATGGTTCTGAGGCCGGCTGGTAGTCAGGTTTCCCAAACTCTGTGGTAGCTCTCAGAGAGGCTGATTCTATCAACAGCTGAAAGATATCAGAGTACTAACAGTGTCATGCTGCGCATGAATGGTGTCCCTGTTTGTACTTTTGGTGTGCATTGCCAAGGCCACATTGGAGCCCTTTGTTACGGCTTAGGGTTTATTAGTGGAAATGAGGCAATTGCTTGAGCTATAGAACAGTGTTCTGAGTACTATCAATGTTTCGAGTCAAGTTCTTTAACAAATTTAAAAATGAATAAAGTAACAAAAACTATAAAAACCACAGTCATCACCAAGTTCGCTAAACCTATCATTCACCAATATTCGTGGTCTTCGAAGTAACTTTTCTTCTGTTGAGTCTTATCTCTTGCAAAGTTCACCAGACCTGCTTGCTCTTTGTGAGACTAATTTGAGTTCAGCTGTCTCATCTTGTGATCTTAGTGTTGATGGTTATCTTCCTCTAATTCGTAAAGACTCCAATAGTCACATGCTTGGCCTGGGCATTTACATTCATAAGAATTCACCCATTTGTCGGGAAACTAGGTTTGAATCCATAGACTACTCTTTTATGTGCTTTCGTTTAGCACCACTTCACTCTATCACCTTTCTCTTTGTTCTATATCGCTCTCCCTCATCCCAAGACTGCACTCTTTTTGATGTTATTTCTGATTATATTGACCAAGCCCTCATTCTTTATCCATCAGCCAATATTGTTGTTGTCGGTGACTTTAATGTTCATCACACTGAATGGCTTGGCTCTAGTGTCAGTGACTCTGCAGGCATTAAGGCCCACAACTTTTGTCTTTCTCAATCCCTAACTCAAATAGTCAACTTTCCAACTCGCTTTCCAGACAACCCGAATCATTTACCTTCTCTACTCGACTTATGTCTTATTTCTGATCCTAGTCAGTGTTCAGTTTCTTCACACTCACCCTTAGGTGCGTCTGATCATGGTTTGGTCTCTCTAAAACTATTATCTCATTCTTCTTTACCATTAGAATCCCCCTATCATCGTACATCTTACAACTACCTTAAAGCTGACTGGGACTCTTTTCGTGACTTTCTTCGTGATGGCCCCTGGGTAGAAATCTTTCGTCTCCCTGTTGACAAGTGTGCTTCTTACATAACTTCGTGGATTCAGGCTGGCATGGAATCCTTTATTCCCTCTTGACAATTCCAGGTCAAGCATCACTTTTCTCCATGGTTTTCCTCACATTTTGCTGCTGCAATTGCCAATCGAAACCATTACTTCCATATCTATCAGCAAAACAATTCTCCAGAAAACAGACGTCTGTTTATTACTGCTAGGAACCATTGTAAAAATGTTTTGTCTAATGCCAAAACCTGCTATTCTCAGATCATGAAATCTCGTATTTCATCACAAAAATTAGGCTTTCGTGACTTCTGGAGAATCTTTAATAGTATCAATAATAAGGGCAAGTCTGTAATTCCACCTCTTTTGTACGGTTCAGACTTTGTCACCTCACCTAAAGACAAAGCTGAATTGTTTGCCAAGAACTTTTCATCAATATCATCTCTTGATGCCACTAGTTGCGTTCTACCTGATATAGCCGTCAAACAGGTTGATCCATTGCTCGACATTCGTATCACTCCAGCTTCTGTATCTAAAGTGATTTCCCACTTAGACTCTTCTACAGCTTGCGGCCCGGACAACATACCTGTTATAGTCTTGCAGAAGTGTTCTCCTGAGCTGTCGTCTATCTTTTCAAAACTATTCAACAAGTGCTTATCAGAGTCTTGCTTTCCAGCCTGCTGAAAAGCAGCATCTGTTATCCCTATTTTTAAAAATTCTGGAGAGCGATCTCACTCATCTAACTACCGTCCCATTAGTCTTCTTCCTATCATAAGCAAGGTTTTCGAATCTTTAATTAACAAACACTTAATTTCTCATCTCGAATCTCATAACCTACTTTCTGATCATCAGTATGGATTTCGATCTTCTCGTTCTACGGCTGATTTGCTATCAGTAATAACCAATAGGTTTTATCGCGCATTAGATAAAGGTGGAGAGGTTAAGGCCATTGCTCTTGACATTTCTAAAGCGTTTGATAAAGTTTGGCATGCTGGTCTCCTCCATAAGCTTTCTTCTTATGGTGTATCTGGAAACATCTTTAAGATTATTGAATCCTTCCTTTCCAATCGTAGTATAAAAGTTGTCCTTGATGGACAGCACTCTTCTTCTTATTCTGTAACCTCAGGGGTTCCCCAAGTTTCAATCCTTGGCCCTATACTCTTTTTAATTTACATTAACGATTTTCCAGATATTCTCACATCTAAGGTGACATTGTTCGCTGATGATACTACTATTTATTCTTGTCGCGATAAGAAGCCAACTCCCTCTGATTGCTTGCAGGGGGCATCTGAGTTCGAAAAGGATCTCACTTCTGCTACAGCATGGGGCTCGCAGTGGCTGGTGAACTTTAATTCAGATAAAACTCAATTTTTTTCGGCCAATCATTATCGCAATAATTTAGACCTTCCTATATTTATGAACGGTAATGTACTCGATGAGTCTCCTACCCTTCATCTTCTAGGATTAACTCTTACTTCTGATCTTTCTTGGAAACCTTATATCAAATCCGTTGCAAAATTAGCATCTGCTAAAGTTGCTTCTCTTTAACGAGCTCGTCACTTTCTTACTCTGGATTCTATTCTCTATCTCTATAAATCTCAAATCCGGCCTTGTATGGAATACTGTTGCCATATCTGGGGCGGATTTTCTAATGATGCCCTTTCTCTTTTAGACAAGGTGCAAAAACGCATTGTTAACATAGTTGGACCTGCTCTTGCAGCCAACCTTCAACCTCTGTCACATCGTCGTAATGTTGCTTCTCTTTCTCTTTTCTACAAATACTATAATGGGCACTGCTCTAAAGAGCTAGCGTCTCTTGTGCCATCTACTAAAATTCATTCTGGTGTTACTCGTCATTCAATTAAGTCTCATCCTTTTTCTGTTACTGTTCCTAAGTGCTCCAAAAACTCTTATTCGTCTAGTTTTTTTCCTCGAACATCAGTTCTTTGGAATTCGCTTCCTTCATCTTGCTTTCCTGATTCATATAATTTGCAATATTTTAAGTCGTCTGTCAATCGTTATCTTGCTCTACAATCTTCATCTTTCTCTTCCAGTAACTTTTAACACTAATTAGTGGTTGCTTGCAACCTTGTTGGAAGCGAAGATAATTAAAAAAAAAAAAATTTCTACTTGAACAAACTTATAACTGAACATCAATTTGTTAAACCCTAAATTTAGTTACTGTATATATTCTTCACAACAACTGGAAATAGTAGTAATAATTTAATATCAATAAACTCTGTGTCCTTGGTGTAGCAACTACTTCTAATTTCAAATGGAGCACTAATGCAATAAATTGTGCTTTTAAATCCAACAGTATCTGGGGTAAATGAAAAAAAAATTCATGAACAGGGATGTAAATTTATAGAAAAATCAATACTCAACCTATATTCAACTTTATCTTGAGTTTTCTAGAAAAAATAGAGAAAGAAATACAAGCTTTTTGCAATCACATAAACAGTTCAATTACAAAAAAAAAAATTTTAGTTTTTATGCAAATTTTCATGATGGAAAGAAGAGGTGTGTGCAGATTGCATACAACAGTACAAAATTGAATAAATTATTTTTTCACATAGAGGACATTGTAAGTACTTATGTCATAAAGTTGTCAATCACTGAAATAATTTGGATGATTTGGATGAACACTGTTTTAAAAAATTATAAACAGTTTCAAAAACATACTCAACAAAATGTATCAAAGACTGCAAGATATCAAATATGACAAATATATAATAAAGTATCAATCTTGGATGGTAGTTCTGCTTGTATTTAACTATATCTTTGCAAATCAAATTTCTAAAAATTAGACTTATAACAGAACTTGTACTTGTGTTTTGCTTGTGTGATGTGTTGTTTTTTTTTTCTTGGAATATAATGATAATAATAATAACAATAATAATAATAGTAATAATGATAAATATATATCACATAAATGTATACACATATTGTTTATATGTATATACATACTTATAAACAATATGTATATACATATAAACAAACATATGTATGTAATTACATATAAACAACCCTGAAGTAAACCTTTAAATGACATTTTTAAAAATTTCTATTATAATTTTAAGTTTTTACAATATTTTAAAAATGAGCTATTTAGTTTATTCAATTTTTTGTAAAGTTGAAAATTTTTTCAAGTTTTTATTTTAATATTTATCTTTTTATTTTGACATTTTCTTTTTCATTTTTTTAATGTTTTAACAGTTGACTCTCGATATCTTGAACTCTCAGGGAACTGAAAGTTTGAGATTTTACTTCCAGTCCAAAACACAAAAAGCTAACTCTATATTTTGACTACTCGATATCTTGAACACAAAATATTTTGATAATCTTTAATATTTTGATAATCGTTTAATATTTTGACATCTTGAACACAAAAGTTCAAGATATCAAGATTCAGTGGATTCAGTAAATATTAAAAAAATTTTATAAAAATTTATATAAAAAAGATGAATAGAGTATTATTTCATCCAAACATATTAAAATTCCTTAAAAAAACATTTTATATGAAAAAAAATTTTATATCAAAATGTTAGTTATACTTCTAAATATATAAAATATATAAATAATTAAATATAATTTAAGCAAACATAAATCATAGGTTTAATTTAAAATTTTATTGATAATATTTATATAAATTTACTAAATTGCTAAATTTACTAAATTAAACTTAATATTTGTTTTACTTATAGTTTTATTAATAAATTAATTATGCTTAGTATGTCATAATGCTTAGTTATACCAATAAACGTTTCAATAAATACTGATGGTACTTTCAATAATTTAAATCTTGCAATATTTATAATATTTAACCGTAACATGTTTATTATTATTCTATTTTTATTATAAACAATGCTATCATTATTATAATTTCTTATGTATTACTTATTTATATTACTATGTTTTATATTTGTCTTGTTATTGACTTGTTTTTGTAAGGTTCATGATGTATTTGTAATGCAACCTATGAAAATTTTTATCATTGCAATAATAACAGCTCTTGCAATAAAAAAGATTGATGACAAGCAAAAGTATTTTGCTGATGATCAAGGTATATATTATCAATGTATGAGTGTTTAGTTTATGACCAAAGTATTAGTGCTTATTCAATTAATGACCGAGGTTGACTGTATGTTTTTATAAACAGTTTTTTTAACAATTAGTGTGCCTAACAGGAGGAAAATAAGATAAACTACTAATCTAGGCACACAATTTTTTGAGAACTTTTTATTTAGCAAAAATACTTGCTCACAATGAAAATTGGCTACATAACTTTCATAAACGGTTATCAATCTTTGAGCGTGTTGAGTTAGATATCAGTCCTCCAGATAAACATTTGATCGAATCAATTAAAGAAAGCCGTATGCATAAGTTAAGATTATATTCACTTGTACGAGAACTTCTGTTTTATTTGATTTTTGCACTATTAGTATTTTATTTGGCTTATGCTTCTCATGGAAACTATTCATTTACACAAACAAATAATATAGAGTCTCTTTTTAATCTAAGATCAGACTCTTCCTCCACTAAACAACATCTGGTTTTAAAACAGGTACACAAATTTATTAAAGTTTAATTTTTTTTTTAATTTTTAAAATTTTAAATACTTATTTTGCTCGTATAAAATAAAAAATATTATTTTAGCTTCGATCCAAAAATGACTTCTGGGTATGGTTAAACTCATTTTTTTTCCTTCAAGTTTTTCCTGAACCATGGAGTAACAAAAAAAGTGATGGAAATATCTTCATAAATGATTTTAATTCCAAGATTATTAATGGAATACGAATTCGACAAGCACGTGTTAAATCGCGTATGTTTTAATTTATAATTGCTATTAGCAGTTAAGTCACATGTTTTAATCTGTAATATATATATGTATATATATATATATATATAATATACATATATATATATATACATATATATATATATGGATATATTTCTTGAGCAACGTAATAGCAAAAAATGTGAAAGTATTTTTAAGAAAAACACAATATTTTTCATTCTTGACATGTTTTGTAGTTTACATACTACATTTTCGAAAGATAAAATTACAACTAAAACTCTGTATTAAAAAAAATAAAATAAAATTTGAAGACATTTCAGAGAAATATTAACGAAGAAATAAGATTTTTACAAACCCGCAAAAATTGCAATATAAATTATGATACCGTAAATAGTAAATAAAATTAACTAGATGACAAATTTATATTATAATGAGCTGTTTGTTTACAAATATTCTTGTGCTGCCTGTAAAGCCAGTTATTGGAGGAAACTCCAGACATTTTAATTTTAATTTTATCTTATGAAAATGTAGTATGTAAACTACGAAACATGTCAAGATTGAAAAACATTATGCTTTTCTTTAAAATTTATATATATATATATATATATATATATATATATATATATATATATATATATATATATATATATATATATATATATATATATATATATATATATATATATATATATATATATATATACAGTATGCAAAAAAAATTCACTTAAAAAAAATTGTAATTTTGAAGATTGCATCAAAAAAAATGACTTGTCCGTTAAAAAATTTGAAACTTTTTTATCTCATCAAGTATTGTTTTAAGAATTTATTTGTGTATTGGTGAATTAATTGCTTTTCAGACCTATTGAATTTTATACAGTTGATGTAATGATCGATTGATAAAAAAAATAATCGTACGCTAACAAAATAGGTTTTGATTTTAGCATAAATTGAGCGAATTGAATGATCAAACTAGTAAGTAAAATTAAAAATAACAGTTTTTAAATTGTCCTAGAAATAAAATAAAGTCTAGTGTTTCAGCAGAACAGCTTCAAGATAATAACATTTATCTTTCCATTAACAAAGCCTCGTAGTTTATTATTAGATCAATTGTGTAAATGCAATGAAAATAATTAATTCACCAATGCACAAATAATTTCTTAAAACAATACTTGATAAGATATCTAAAAAAAACTTTAAATATTTAAACAGACAACTCATTTTTTTGATGCAATTTTTTTTATCCAAATCCTCATTTAGGGAGACTCACAACCTCACTCTTTTTGCAGAATTTTTTTGTTTTTTGACATTAATATATATATATTTTTTCTTTTGACCATCCAGACAATGTTTTTTAGAATACCATTCTTGTTCACGTTAAAATTTACCAGACTGAATTGAGTCAAATGCCCAAGTAACCAACTAAATTCGTAAAAAAAAAACGACTATAACTTGAAATTCACCTTCTTGTAAGGCGGCGGGGGTTATTTTCTGTTGATTTTTCTGTTCAACTAGTTAGCTTTCTTTTAGCAACCTTCGACATTTTTATTAAACAAAATTTAATCAAAAATTAACCAAATTGAAAATATCCATGAAAATGTTTAGTTTGTTAAATTATATTTGACGCAAAGATATTTAATTTTCGAACATTTTAAGTTTTGAACTTTAATTGATGTTTTTCAATTATTAATATACCAGTCATTAATTAATAGAATTTAATTGAAGCTTTACCAAATTGAAGATATTAATAAAAGTGTTTAGATATGTTTAATTTTAGTTATACTTTTGAGCATTCAAATATCAGAATTTTTATTGAAGTGTTAGTAGTTTTGTAATTATATGCACTTATTATATTCTATTCAATTCACTTATTTATATTTATATCTTTCAAAACAAAAGTCCTAGTTTAGCAAAGTTTTTTCCTTAAACAGACCCTAAAAAATAGTACATATATATATATATATATATATATATATATATATATATATATATATATATATATATATATATATATATATATATATATATATGTATATATATATATATATATATATATATATATATATATATATGTATATATATATATATATGTACTATGCGCATATATATATGTATATATATATATATATATATATATATATATATATATATATATATATATATATATATATATATATATGTATATATATATATATATATATATATATATATATATATATATATATATATATATATATATATGTATAGCTTCTTTCAAGTCATCTTAGCATTTTAATTCAGTTGCCAATTTTTCTGTTCAAAATATGCCACAAACTTTTTATAAGATTCAAGTCCGGACTTTGAGATGGCCATTTCAAAATATTGATGTTATTTGTGTCAAAGTATATCTTTTTCTTAGTGGTATGTTTTGAATCATTATTCTGCTGGAGTATGAAACCATTTCCCATTCTCAATTTTTATATATATATATATATATATATATATATATATATACATGCATATATATATATATATATATATACATATATATATATATATATATATATATATATATATATATATATATATATATATATATATATATATATATATATATATATATATAACTTTTCATCAATGTTATCTCTTGATTCCAATAATTGTGTTCTAACTGATATATTACATATCTATTGCTTAACATTAGTATCGCTCTAGCTTCTGTATCTAACATGATTTTCTGCTTAGACTCTTCTACAGTTTGTGGTTCAGACAACATACCTCTTATAGTCTTGCAGAAGTGTTCTCTGGAGCTGTCGTCTACTATTTAACAGTTTAACAAGTGCTTATCAAAGTCTTGTTTGCCAGCACGCTGGAAAGCGGCATCTGTTATCCCTATTTTCTGTTATCATCTGTTATCCCTGTTATCATCTGTTATCCCTGTTATCATCTGTTATCCCTGTTATCATCTGTTATTCCTATTTGCTGTTATCATCTGTTATCCCTGTTATCCCTATTTTTGAATATTCTGGAGAGCGATCTGACTCATTTAACCGCCCCATTAGTCATCTTCCTATCATAAGCAGGGTTTTTGAATTTAGATCTTCCTATATGTATGAACAGTAATGTATTCCATGAGTCATCTACCCTTCGTCTTCTAGGATTAACTCTTACTTACGATCTTTCTCAGAAACCATATATTAAATCCATTGCAAAATATGCGTCTTCTAAGGTAGCTTCTCTTTATCATGCTTAACACTTTCTTACCCGGATTCTATTCTTTATCTCTATCTTTATTTTATCTCCTTGTAGGAAATACTGTTGCCATATCTGGGGAAAATCTTCCAATGATGCCCTTTTTCTTTTAGACAAGGTGAAAAAATACATTGTAAACATAGTTGGATCTGCTCTTGCAGCCAACCTCCAACCATTATCACATTGTCATAATGTTGCTTCTTTTTCTCTTTTCTACGAATACTATAATGGGCACAGCTTTAAATAGCTAGAGTCTCTTGTGGCATTTCCTGAAAATCATTCTTATGGTACTCGTCATCCAATTAAGTCTCATCCTTTTTTTGTGACTGTTCATTTTGAAAATTGAGGTAAAATTGAGGTATGATTTTAATAAATTATTTTAGGTTTTTATTACACAATTTTTATATTTGGTTTTAGTAATGATTACATCAGATTTTATCACTTTGTGATTGTTTTGTTTGAACTTGCCAAGTTGATTACACATTTTAAAATGATAGAATTTTTCTCACAACAAAATGTGCAAGCTGAAACTTTTTTAACAGTTGCTTTCTTTGAATATTGTTTAACTGTTGCAACAAGGAATAAAATGCTCTCCTCGGTAGAGAAGAGTATTTTAGTTCGTTTTATTAGAGAAATTTTATTAGTTTGTCTTTTTTGCTTTCATCATCAAAGTAATACTTTTACTTTTTGCGTATTTTGCAAAATATTGCATATTTTATTTTTTTATTGCAAAATATTGCTTTGGTTTCTTTATGATTGTATTATTTATTTCACTTAAATTTAAATTAAAGGAAAGATTTTATACTCAATTTTGAATCGTTCAAATGAAAAGGAACAAATTTTATACTCAATTTTGAATCATAGAAATAAAAAGGAACAAATTTTATATTCAATTTTTAATCATTCAAATGAATTTTATAAATCATTCAAATGAAAATGAATGAATTTTATACTCAATTTTGAACAATTCAAATGAATTTTATACGCAATTTTGAATCATTTAAATTTAATAATCTTTATTATAGTTTGTTTCTTGTTAGAAAAAAATTTATCAAGAAAGTTCAAATTTAAATCACTTAAAATACAAAAGGTTAGAAAAAGTCTTTAGTATACATATATATATATATATATATATATATATATATATATATATATATATATATATATATATATATATATATATATATATATATATATATATATATATATATATATATATATATATATATATATATATATATATATTGCTGTTTATGAATAGCTTTTTTCATCAAAAAACTTATAAACATTTATTTAATGTAAAATAAAATGTGTTAAATAACTGAATCTTTGTTTAACATTTTTAAATACATTAAAAAGACTAGACAAATTTTTTGAGTAATTTTTACTCACTGAAACACATACAAAATACCCTGAATAAAACCTCAGACAAAAATAGCAGATATAACCCATAATTCACACCAGATAATAATTCTCTACAGAGAATTATCTGGTGTCCTACAATAATTCTCTACAGAGATTTATATACAATTTATATACAAATTATATACAAACAGTTTATGTTTATTAAAATTTTTATTTTTTTGAGCTTTTTATATTGAAAGGTTTTTGGAATTTTGTCTTAGATTCCTGCTTAAAACCAAGTTTAGTTGCGGATCTTTTTATTCTGGATTGTTTATCTGAGCTTAAATCATCATTAGAGGAAACAAACGATTTTGACTTTGACTGGTCATTACCTAAAAAGTACAGTTTTCCTATCAATCAATCTACAAAACCTTGGAGATATCAAACTTCAAATGAACTAGATGGATATCCATTTGGGGCCAAATTACAAACCTATTTTGGAGGAGGGTATGTTATTGAAATTTTTCCAAAATGGAATAATAAGAAAGTTATAGAAGATGTAAAAAAACATATGTGGATTGATCGCCAAACAAGAGCCATATTCATCGAGTTTGCTTTATTTAATGCTGCAACTAATAATTTTAACATGGTTACTTTTGTATTTGAGTTCCCAGCATCTGGAGGGTTAATACCTAGTTATTCTGTTAGTACTTTTAAATTATATCCATCAGAAAATGATGCTGTTATTATTGGTTGCCAGCTCATATTTTTTGTTATGATGTTCATTTTTACAATAAGAGAATGTAGAATGTTGCGTAGAACAGGTTGGAAATACTTTAAAGGTTTTTGGAACTTGACTGAAGTTATGCTTGTTTTACTTTCCATACAAGCAGTTGTTTTCTTTTTTTATAGAGGTTACTTTTACTTATTGAATTTTCTTATCATTTATATGTATAAATAAACAATGTTATTTTTTTATTTTTAGTTTATAAACTCAGAATATCAACTAAAAAAAAACAACATTATTAGTATTGTTATAGATAACATAAAGTAATATAATACTAATACAATACGTATATACACATATATTTACATTTTTGAAAATATTTTTACAAAGTAATTGTAAGTCAAAGTTTATGTAAATCAGGTTTCTTATAAAAGGTTCAGTAAAGTCTTGCTTTTAGAACTGTAAACACAGCATAAGAATTAGAAATAAAATATCAATGTAAGAATGCAATAACTAGAATAAGAAGTAATTTAATATGTAATTCATAGATAAAATAAAATGTAAAATAAAAATGTAAAGTAAAAGTAAACTAAAAGGGTAGATCAAGGTTAGCTAAAAAATTGAAAATTTTTGTTTTATTTGCAAGTATTGTAAATAATTTGTTAATTTTTTAAAAATTTTACAAATAACTTATGTTTAATTTTAAATGATTTTTTGAAACCCATAAGTAATCCAAGAATTTTACTCTTTTTTATAAATGGAAAGTTAGAATTTTATATAACATATTAAAATTGAAATGCTCCTAAAAAAATTAATGTTTTTAAGAAATTTCATTTCAATTTTAAGAAATTTCAGATTACTATTGCTAAAAATACTTTTTTGTAAAAAACTTTCTTTCAGTTTTGCAGTAGTTTATCGTTTTTGGTTGGTGATTTTCCGAAAAGTTTAGAACTTTTTGAGTTTTTGTAATTAAAGAATTTAGCTCTGCGTTTGTAGAACAAGTTGGTTATTGTAGTGTCAATATCTTTGTACTCTACTTCAAAATTTCAGAATAATCAGAATCAGAAAAAAAATAAGTAATACAAAAAAAGAATCAGAAAAAGAATAAGTAAGAATCAGAAAAAGAATAAGTAATACATTACCATCATGTTCATTAACATCTGCTACATCTGTTGAACTAATATTATAAAGTACTTTTATGATTGCCAATTGTAGGCTATGTACCATACATAACTGATGGTTTTTATTAAGTAGCTTTACTGTTCTCTTGTTAATAGCAGCTCCGTCTGATGTTCTGCACCCAATATTTGACAAAGCTAATATTAAACTCTTTAAGCTTCTTTTCAATTAGTTCTGTGCATACCTCAGCTGGTGCGGATCCATGAATCTGAGTCAATCCAAGATTCCAGAAATTACAGTCAGTTCTATGATTAATAATAAATATACCGGCGATTTTTATTTGATGTCCATTTATCTGTGGTAAGGCAATAGGCTTTTTTATTGAGCTTATTCTGTATAATTTCCTTCACAACTTCTTTCCTTATTTTATTGGCATAATCCATTAATTTTTTGTGAATGGTTTTAGGCGATTTTAGTAATTCTATGTACCCTTTTGTTTTTAGTAATATCTTCAAATCTTCAGATGTACAAAATTTATTGAAAGGAATGCCATCTTGTGCAATCATTCTTGAAAATACAGCTTCAAGAAATTCGTCTCTTTTTTTGATAAAAGAAGTAATTTTTGATGCTATTGCAACTGTCGGTTATTTTGTGTGTTCTTTTATATTTCTTTTTAACACATTAATTTTATGTTGACTCTTTTGATGGGCATTTAAACCACTAGTACTTCCACCTGCTGTTTCCACCTTTTGCGCATTGTTTACATATGGCTATATTTCTTATTTCTGTACAATTATGATAGTTCTGAATTGAATATTTATCCATTAAAAGGTCTTTAAAACAATTCTTAAAACGAAATTAAAAAAAAAGTTTCTTTAATAATAAAAAATTTGCAAAACAAGCCAACATCGGTTTCAAATGCTGTTTAATTAGAGGCGTTAAGCTTTCTCAAGCGTTAAGTTCAAACAAAAGAATGCTTTACACTTTTATATTTTTAATTTTTAATATATTGACAAGAAAATAATTATTTTATTTAATATTTATAGTACGTTCTTTTTTAGATAAAAATATTCAGCAATTAGGAATTAAAACAATCCTTATATAGCAAAAAGCTTTACCTGTAAAAAAATTTACCTTTAAAAAACTTAAATCAAATTTAGGTATTTACCAGTATACCGATAACCGGTATTACAATCCCTAATCAGAAATATGGCAAATTTACTTTTATGATACCTTTTTGGGTATCTTTGTTACTTTTTTTTCTTTGTTAAAGGTCTCATTTAAAAAATAATGTCAATAAGAGTTGTTGACTCTAGTAGGACAATGAGTTACACCATGAAAATGTTTTTTAAGAAATATCAAAAAATATTACTACTACTACTACTACAACCACTACTACTACTACTACTACTACTACTACTACTACTACTACTACTACTACTACTACTACTACTACTACTACTACTACTACTACTACTACTACTACTACTACTACTGCTACTACTACTACTACTACTACTACTACTACTACTACTACTACTACTACTACTACTAGTATAGAGTTAGATGATAGAGTCATTAATATAGAGTTTTATTAGCTGATGGAATCATTATTTTAGGGTTTTATCTGCTGGAGAGTCATTAATTTAGCAGCCGTTATTAAGTCATTTAGAGTTATTTATGAAAATAATTTTAAAAAGTTTGTCTTTTTTTGATAAAATTATTACGATAAAGATCTATCAGATTTTAATTTTATATGTTAAGTTTTATATCATGTAGGTTTAGTTGTGGTAATGGCTATTTGAGAATTATTTAAGATACAGATCCTTGCTTAGCGATTATGATAATTTACTCCATGACAAAATAAAATCCTGAAAATTCACTGATACTATTACTGTTTCTCTTCGTACTGCTTTTTTATCTGGTTATCAAATATCATAAAACTTTTCCTATGTAGTTGCAAGCACAAGAAAGTCAACATGATGTTCCATTTGTCAAAATTTGATTCCTAATTTGTCAGTAGTGGATATGAGTTTTATTATAACATCATTGAAAAATTGTTTTACAATATTTGAATATTATTTTAGTTTTATTTACTTTAAAATAATATAGTGTGGCTGTGGTGCAGTAGTTAGAGCCCTTGCTTTATAAGCAGGAGATCCAGGTTTGAAACAAGGACATATTTTAGCGTCACGGTAAGGAAGGAGGCGTGAACTATCTTAACCACTATAATGTAATATCTCCTATTTACCATGGTTTCTTCTCCTATTCACCATGGTTTCTTCTCCTATTCACCATGGTTTCTTCTCCTATTCACCATGGTTTCTTCAACTATTCACCATGGTTTCTTCAACAATTCACCATGGTTTCTTCAACTATTCAACATCATTTCTTTTTTTATTCACCATGAGACCAACTTTTTTTATTATATATAGCATCATCCGTAGTTAACTATCTTGAATGTACAATAAAAATTTTTGCTGATGATATTAAGTTATAAAGTTTTTTCAACTTTACAACTTAATAACATTTGTTAAATAGAGTATTGAAGTGAATGGTAGTATTGAAATTGAGAGAGCTCATAGAGTTGGAATAAAGGAGTTGGGTTATAGAACAAAAAATCAAACTTTTGTTGCAAAATTTTTAAACTATGAAGACAAGGAAATGAAAATGTGTTTATAAAGAGGATTTTAGATCATTTGTTAAATAGAGTATTAATTTTGAAGGGAATAATGTCAAAATAGCAAAATTTAAACCGTTGTTAATTAGCTAAAGCTATCATAGCCATTTTTTGAAAAATTTATAAGACTTATAGAGATAAAGAATCTGAAGTAGAAAGTGGCAAGCACAATAAAGAAATACAACTTTAGCAGATGCTAATTTTGCAATGGATTTGATATATGGTTTCCAAGAAAGATTGGAATTAAGAGTTAATCCTAGAAGACGAAGGGTAGATAACTATTAAGTACATTACTGTTCATAAATAAAGGAAGATCTTGATTGTTCCAATAACGATTAGCTGAAAATAATTGAGTTTTATCTGATTTAAAGTTTACCAGCTACTTAGGGCCCAATGCTTTAGTAGAGGAGAGATCCTTTTAAAGTTCAAATGCCTTCTCCACACAATCAGGGAGTGTTAGCTTCTTATCAAAACAAAAATAAATGATAGTATTATTAGCAAACAATGCCACCTTTGATGTGAGAATTTCTGGGAGATTGTTAATGTAAATTCAAAAAGTATAGGTCTAAGGATAGAACCTTGAGGAATCCCTGAAGTTTCTGAAAATGGTATTCGAGGACAACTTTTATTATACAATTGGTAAGGAAGAATTCAATAGTCTTAAAGAGGTTACCTGATACACGGTAAGAAGTGAGCTAATGGAAAAGACCAGCAAGCCAAACTTTATCAAAGGCTTTAGAAATGTTAAGAGTAATAGCCCTAATCTCTCTTCGACTATTAAAACCTATTGGTTATTACCATTAACAAATCAACAGTATCAGAAATCAGAAGATCAAAATTTTAGAATAAAGGGAAGAAAAAATTAGTAATGAAAGTTTGTGACAATGTGACAATGCTTTTAGACAAAATGCTAATCAAGCAGTTTGGTATACACAACCTCGATGTTTGCTAGCCTTCTAACTTATGCTTCAATTCCTGATACATTGCAGCTTTTGTAATCGAATATCTAGCAAATATGATTTGAGGTGTAATCATTATCAACAGTCATTCTGGTTTACACCTTTTTCAACAAAGTAAAATTGTGAGTTCTGTGAATTATTTTAAAAAATTTCAAAAATAATGTGTATAATTGATTTTAAATCAGATAATTTGATATTTTCATGCATGACAGGGCAACTTACCATCAGGCAAATTTGTTAAGACATGAAAGAAAACTCCAAGAAAACTCAGCTGATGTTCTTCTTTCATGGCCAGGCTATTTACTCAAAATAAACCCCCCTCATAAACTTTTGGTAAAATTGAAAGAAGAGGTTTCTAAATATAATTTAACTCACTATTGCTTTATATGTGGGTACTGTTTGCCTAAAATAATATAACATCATCTGTGGTGTTTCTTGTACAGTTAAATTTGCATTTATTGATATATATATATATATATATATATATATATATATATATATATATATATATATATATATATATATGTATATATATACATATATATATATATATATATGTATATATATATATATATATATATATATATATATATATATATATATATATATATATATATATATATATATATATATATATATATATATATATATATATTGTGGATACAAAGAAATGAATAGAAATGAAAATTTAAATTTTATTATACTGGTGGACAATTTTTATTTGTTTTGATTTTTGTGCTGATTTTAATTAAAATTGGCATGTTGACTCCCAATTGTTATCACATTTTTTCCAGCACATGAAGTTTTTTTCTGCTTACAGAGAAAGAAAATTCTATTATTTAGCTGTAGTAAAGCTCATTTACATTGATTCTGATTGGCAGTTAAAATTAAAAAAAGTGTGGCGAGTGGTGTTTACAGCATTCAATTAGTCATTACAATCTATATATTCAAGTTTTATTTCACTGTTTTTTCAGTTTTCTAAGCTTATAACTATTTCATTTTAGTGTTTTTACTTGCTTACATAAATATATCATTTTATTTCAGATCGTGTATCCTACTTCCTTACGTTGTAAATGTCATTACAATCTATATATAAATAACCATGACTCTTTTTGCTATATTTTTGACAGAAAAGTTCAAGAGCTCAAGACATTTGGGTTCAAGACTAAGACTTAAGATTTCAAGTCTAATACAATAATAGTTGGCAGTCTATAGCAGTCAAAATAAGTTAGGCCTCCTCCCCCTTACACGCCCATGACACCTACTAGTGCTGGCCATGCCAGTAGCTAGAAAAAAATAAATAATTTGAAGTTTAAACATTCTTTTTAAGTATTTTATGCACTTAAATTAGAACAGACAACTATGTATCACCTGATTTCACAACTTATATTTTGACAATCTAGCCTAAGACTGGTATAAATGCGTAAAGAAATTGAGTACACATCTTTCTAGGTACAAAATTTCATGAGAACAGAAAGTTGCAGTGATCAACGTTTTATTATCAAGTACTAATATATCCATTGTGATATTTTTTGTAAAGATTAAGAAAATACAAAACAGTAAAGGTCCGAGACCAAGAATAGTAGCTCAGGTCTTTGATACCCAGTCTTCAAGCTTTAAGATAAAAGTCTTTAAGCTTCAAGAGTCTCGATACCAAGATAGTTAAGTATGAGTCTCAAGACGTTTCGAGACCAAGACTTCAGCCTGGAGACCTACATTTCTGATTTTTGGTTGTTTCATGATTCTATGTCAAGAAAAACATCTGTATATTTGTCAAATAATCATATTTTTTATACTTTAAAGTAAAACTTCAAAAGAAACACACAAAAAAAATTTAAAGGACAAGCCATGGGCTCCACACAAAGTATGCAAGTGATGTGTTGAGAGTTTATGCCTATGGGCTAAAGGAAATCAGGAAAAGTTGGTATTTGGTATTTGCTAGAGCAAAAAGATGGTTCCACAGATTGTTACTTTTGTTTAGTGAAAACATCAAGATTAAACATGAAAAAAATAGAATATTTTAATCTATTTTCAGCTATTAGAACATCCTCATTAGGCCTCTTTCTGTTCCAGTGCTAGTTTTTGAACAACTACCTCATGTAGAAGACCTAATTGATGTTGAAGAATGCAATCAGTAATTATGTAGATTTTGAAATTCTTAAGCATTCAATTCATAGGGGATTTGATCAGTTTAAATAGAATGATTTGGCATGTGATTTGGGTTTTTCAAAAAAAACTGCAAAAATTCTAGCTGCAAGACTAAATGAAAAAATTGTTTTAAAAAAGAGTGAAGGAATTACGACTTACAATCCAGACGAATAGAGTTCGTTTATTGATTGCTCAAAGCAGAGCTTGAAGTGTGCTCTTCCATACAATGGCAATTTATATGGTGCATTACCTAATGGGCACTTGGTTATTTTTTGTAAACATTGAAATGTAAAGATAGTCATTGAGTTATTGCTATACAACAAACACAACATATCATCTGTGATCTGGGTCATCTGCGTTGACTTTAAAATTGTGTGCTTCCTTTTTGGCAAGCAACGTGGGTACACAAAGTATATCTGTTTTCTTTGTATGTTGGATAGAAGAGCTTGAAATAAGCATCGGATAGATTCAAATTGGTCTCTAAGATCAGAACTTAAACCTGGAGATCCCAACATTTACAATTGAGCCACCTGGAAGAAGTTAATATTCCCATCTCTGCACATAAAACTAGGTCTCATGATGCAATTTGTAAAAGCATCCCCAACTGTTTGACTGTTTCTAGTATATCATCACACAATCTTACTCCTTTTTTTTTTGAAAATTATCACATTATTTTAACTTGAAAATTATCGCATTATTTTTGACAACTAGGAAGTGATTTTTGCAATTATGGTGTTGTGATGAGCCATGTAACGTTCATCACAACATCATAAAATGGCAACATCATCATGTATGGCTTTGTATTTATTATGAATTAAAATATTCTTCATCCATGATCTCTTAATTTATTATTAAGTTTTTAATGATTTATAAATAAGTTTATTTTTAGGTAAACTTGCAAAAGATTTACTTAATCGACTTCCAGCAAAAGAACCTCAAAAGTTTATAAATTTTCAATTTGCTTCTTATTGGGATTTGATGTTTACTTACATTGTCTCCTTGATAGTTTTTATTGTTAATATAAAGTTTATGAAAATACTCAATTTTAATCCTCGTATTTCAATGATGTCAGCTACATTAAAAGCATCAAGTCACTATTTAATCACTTTAGCTTTTACTTTGTTTGTTATTATGTCTGCAATGGTTTGCTTTTCTAATATAGCATTTGGTAATATTTTTTAATATGTTAAGTTACTAGATAGATTTATATCTTTTTTCAAACCATGTTTATGGATATATATATATATATATATATATATATATATATATATATATATATATATATATATATATATATATATATGTATATATATATATATATATATATATATATATATATATGTATATATATATATATATATATATATATATATATATATATATATATATATATATTATATATATATACACATACATACATACATACATACATACATACATACATACATACATACATACATACATACATACATACATACATACATACATACATATATACAAAAGGTTTTCATATTTAAAGGTGCTGTGTTGGAAGGATATAAAAGCTATTTTGAAACAACTGTTTCCCTTATGTCATTGGTTTTAGGGAAGTTTGATTTTAACCAGATACAGAACTCGTGTGGCTATATTGGTCCACTTTTTTTATTTGCCTTTAACATTTGGATGAATTGGATTATGATGAGCTTGTTCATATCAATATTAAACAATGGCTTTTTAACTGTGCGCTCAAAAGCTGTTTTGCAAAAAGATGAATATAATATTCTAAATTTTTTTGAGTCACGACTCAAGGGTTATAATTTTTGCTTCTTATTAAAATATTATTTAACCAAGTCAATAATTACAAATGTTTCTAAAAAAAAATTTCCCTATAATTTTTTTGTTTAATACAAATTAATGTTTTTGTTTAATACAAGTTAATGCTTTTGTTAAATACAGAGTTGAATTGTATTTTTGCATTATAATTTTTTATAGGTTTGCTGGGACTCTCGTATAAAAAGTCATTCAACTCTGAAATCAAAAATTGCAATGAAAATCTCAAATCTGTTAAGTTTAATTTAGACGTACAAACTGATTTAACGATTCCTAGCATGTATAACGAAGGTAAATTGCAACTTTTTAGCCTTTATTAAGTTATGCAGCTACGCTGTTCTTAAAATTTTTTAAAATTAATTAGTCTTTAAATTATGTTTAAAAACGTTTTGCCAATAAAAATCTAGATAAAAACTAATTTAAAAAATTTACTAAAAGGTATGTTTAATATATTTATAAAAAATGATTTTAGAATTAATTAAACATTTGTAAATATTTTGTTCTTACATTCCCATAGATAAACAGACAGAAGGTAATCATGTTTCTGCAAATTAACATTTGAATTTTCTCAGAGTCAGTGTCAAAAATACTCAAGTAATGCATTTTAAAAGATTAATCATAGAAAGGTGTGAAGGAGGGGGGGGGGGAACTATGAACAACAATTCTGTCTGTCAATTTTTTTTCCTGCTCATATACCAATATTCTAAAATAGAAGTAATTAGTTTCCATGAGAAGTTAGAAGCAGTAGCTTTTCTGAGTTAGATATAGAAGTGAAATAGTTAGCAACAATAAGCTGATAGAAATCATGGTCGGACTGACCAGGGAGGTTGGGGTAGATTTCCTCCCCGGGCCCCAGTTATGTCGGAAGGTCCTAAGACTCACAATAAATCAAGATCACAAGTAAAAAACACAAAAATATAAGTTAATAATAACTATTTGTTGTTTACATACATCAATTTTGCCAAGACAATAAAATAAATTTATAGCAGCCGTGGCGCAATGGTAGCGTACTTGCCTCAGAAACGTAAGATCCGTGGTTCAAACCCCACCTCTGGGCAAGTTTTGCGACATCGGTTGGGAAGGAGACGTGAACTTCCTATTAAATGCTCTTCTGCGGTGCTCTGTGATAAGACCGTAAGGACTTCTTGGGGCACCTTAATCAACTTTAAAAAAATATATACATATATAGTTTATTTCTATGATTAAAGTATGAATTACTAATAAAAATAAGTTATTTCAACGAATAAAATATGAAATGTTTTATATAATATACAAAGACATTGTAAAGCAGTCTTATAGTTAATTATCTTGAGTAAGATATTGAAAAAATTAATTTATTACAAAAAAAACATTTTGTGTTTTTATCGAGTCATGCGTATATATTTTATATAAGCCCAGGGCCTAGAGAGGATAAAAATGTGCTGGCGTAAAATTATTTTGCACGTTGTAAGGAGACTCCTTACGGCTATTATTTTATTAAGACATTCGGAACGTAATAATAATTAAAATAATAAGCACTGGCTTATAAAAAGCCAGTGGATCCCAACCAGAGAGGCTCAGAATTGTTTAATGGGGCTGAAATTTTTAATATTTAAAATATTTTCTAGTAAACATATTTCAGTTTTTTGAGTTCAGCTTTAAATACGGTAAAATAAGTTCTCATGAAATCTAAAAAATTTCTTATTATTCAAGAAAAAAAAATTTTAAGAAAATTTGTTTATATATTATTCAAAAAAAATTTGTTTTTATAGGGGAAAGCGGGGCAACATGGCGAATGGGGCAAGATGGGTTTTCATATAACAACTCAAGAAAAAATCTTAGAGTTGAGTAAAAACGAAACTGTATTTGCATCTTGTATTTTAAAACATCGATTGATTTTTTTAAATATTATTTAACGCTATTTTATACGCATAAGTTTACTTTTTGCGCTTAAAAAAAATTCCTCAGTTTCAGTTTCTCATAAAGGATGGTGTCCTTCAAGTTTAACTTCTTCAAAGGTAGTTTTTTGCCACTTGTGTTTATTTTGTGTTACTTTAGTTAAAGTTATTGGTTGTTTTTAAAATTTTATAAAATTGGAGGCAAAAATTGCATAAGTCATCTTGCCCCGGTCACGTGACCAGATGACGAATTTGTGAACTTTTTAATTTAATATTTATTTCAAATTATTATATTTGCAAACTGAAAATTCATGCAGCCAATGAATCATTTTGATAAAAAAAAAAAAAAAAAAACATACTGAGAATGTATTATTGCTTCACGACTGATAGTTTTGCAATAACTCAGGGCTTTCAAAACGTTCGCCATGTTGCCCCGCTTTTCCCTAGTAAAATAAAATATGTAACATATTATAAAACTAATATTAAAATCTTTGATTTTTAATTTTGTTTTAATGCCTATGTTCTTTAAACAATAAAATACAATTCGTATTTGGTTACCATACCCATAGGGGTTGTCCATAAAGTACGTACGCTTTTTTTTCGCCAAATACCTTCGCCCTACCCCCACCAACTACCACCCAGGTTACTCAGAAAAGCGTATGGCATTTTGCCATACGCTTTTCTGAGTACCCTCTACCTCCCTAAAAATACTTACGCTTTTAACCTACCGATACAACATTTTACGATATTTTTTTATTTATTGTCTCCATACTTTTGTAATTGAACTACTGTCCCCCTTATCTTAGAAACGTCATTCGAAGACCTCTCTTCCTCTCCGAGCGTACGTACTTTATGGACGATCCCATAATCCATTTTAGCATAGCATTAATGTGCAGAAAATAAAGTAGTGCAATGCTGCAATTTAGAGTTACTAAATTTTTAAAATCTTGTTTATGGGTTTATTATTTAAAACGTGTCGAATAAATAGATGGACAGCGTGCATGGTCAAAGATATGGAAATTTACTTGCACATTATTAGATATTAACTGAATATACCCTATGTGATTTAGGGTTTAACTTTTTTTTGCCAAATTTTTTGCTTCGATAAAGGGCCCTGTGTATCCCCCCGGGTCCCTTAGTGTCAGTCCGAGCTTGATAGAAATACTTAGTTTCTATAAGCTAATCGAAACTTTGCTATAGTTAAGTAATAAATACTTTTCATAATTACGTTTAAAACAACTTTTTTAATGTTGTCAAAAAAAACACAACTTAAAATGACTATAACAAATAATTGGCATAACATTTATTAAATTTGACATTTTTTTTTAAAAGCATAAAAATAACTTGTAGTAGTGCTTTTAAATGTAATTTTTTTTAATTTATAGAATCAGATCCTTCGTCACTCGATGACAAGTTATCAGAATTAAGCTGCCTAATGCAAAAATATTACGATGATACTGAAGTACTTATCTTACCTCTTTTTCATGCTGAACTTTTTTATGGTAATTTTATGGAAGCTTTTAACTTAAAAAAGATTATAATTAAAGAAATGTTGGAACATAATCAATCAAATGAAAGCACGGAAGATTCCTGATTGTATTGTCGTTGTTAACATTATGCAGTATTGAATAATATATACAGTAACGGTTTATAATATAACATATGTAATATATATATATATATATATATATATATATATATATATATATATATTATATATATATATATATATATATATATATATATATATATGTATATATATATATATATATGTATATATATATATATATATATGTATATATATATGTAACAGTTTTTCCATTTAAAATAAAAGAAATGTGTAATAAACTTGTATATTAGGGCTGTAACATTTCTTCCTTTTGTAATTTACTGTTGCTTTAAATCGGCTTATTGCATTATTTCTTAAAAAGGTTATTTACGTTGTTGGTTATATAAATAAAATTTCAAAAAAGTTTATATTTTCATTATATATTTTTTATATATATTTATTAGTAAGGTATGCGATTCGCTCAGTTTGATAAAAATAAAAATGTCTGAAACTATTCAACATCTTGCAGATGAAAGATTTTTTTAACATTTAGACTGCAGCTGAAAGTTAAAACTTTACCAAAGTACTCAAGTAAAACAATTAAATTACACTTCCTACCATCCTTGTACTGTTTTATTTAAGACAAAACATGCAGATATCTTTACCACAGATGTCTTAGGTAAACAATGATAAAGAAAGAAAATATCCGCAGAATCCTTTTGCCCCAAAACTGTCTATTCAGACCAAAAAAAGTTTTTTACTTTCAAAAGAAAAGAAAGAAGGTTATTAAAAAATGATACCCTACATGCCTGAAATGGATAGAAATTTTATGGCAACTCTTTGTTTTTAATTATACAATATTTTTTCATACATGTTGATTTCTTAATATAAATGTTTCATATAAGCAAATCGTTGTTTTTAAACACAATCAAATGTAGACCACACGGGTAAAACCACAGGTGTAACATTTTTCTCGTTTTGAGAAAAATGAAATTTAGTGTTTAGCGACATTAGGTATCTGTTTGTTAATAATGTATTTGATTAAAAGTATATTTTTATGACATTTTAGTCTTTACACAATATATAAATGCAGTTTTTGTGCTAAGTACATGAATTACTTATTCACGGTGTTCTTTGGAAAACGAGACACTCATTTTGGACATCTGCGATTTTTCTGTTGTAAATTCATCAACTCATTAACCACGTTAGCTTATAACCTTTTAGAGCACTTATTTTTTTAAAGGTAGATCGTAACACATTTTAATATGCGTAATAAATGTGTGATGGGATAATAAAGCCGCTCACTCCCCACTTCCTTTTTATAAAAAAAAATTCAAATAAAAATTATATGAAAGTTTTTAACTCAATACAAAATAGCATTACAACCTTCTCTTCCCAAACCTCATCTAGTCTTTAAATTTTTAACAACTAAGAGGCAACAGCAATGTGTATCTATTATAGTTTATCAGGCACTTCAATCTTTGATCTAAACAAATGGGATGTAACACATATAAAATTAAATATTTCCAATTTTTTATATAATTAAATTTTGTCTAGCCTTAATATTTCAAGTTCTCTAAGTGAACATGTTTTAAATGGAAAAACAACTAATAAGTATGGCTTCGAAACTCTGCAAATTTGAGAAATTTTTCTTGTATGATGTTTATATATAATATTGAAGTGTTATGGTTTTTTGTGACATTGTCTAGTGTTTCTGCCAAAAACTTTTAATTAGCAATGGTCATGTTTTTTTCACATTCTATAGCGCCATGCCTATACAGAACGTTACATAGTTCTAATTGGTAATGAAACAATAATGCTGTCAAGTTTTGCAGTTTTATAGACAAGATAATTAAATCAATCTAAACTTTTTCATTTTATATTTTGCTTAGCACATATGTTGCAAATTAGTTTAATATCCTTTACATTTGAGATAATTGATAATTTAAAATCATGTAGCATAAATCATTTAGCATTGAACATACATCATCAGACCATTTGTGTCCAACAGTGTCATCATAGCAATAAAAATATAATTTTTGAGTTGAAAGTATATTATTATTTAAAAAATAAAACGTCTGTTGCCTAAAAAAATAGAAATTTTTTTAGTCAATACTGAAAAGCATGCAAAATCATACTGATGATACATATAATGATGATGTTGAAAAAGACGAGAAGAAGAATATACTCCAAAAACTCTTACAATTTCCAGTTCTTGAAGACTTAAAAGACATAATATTCCAGTTCTTGAAGACTTAAAAGACATAAAAAGTAAACCTAAAATGCCTGTAATCACACCATCTACAACACTATCAAACTTGGTCGGTGATCAGGGCTGGATTTTGTTCTGCTTTGCCCAGGTTACCCACGACCAGGATGAATTAGCTGCACAAGGGGACTTTACTGTTTTAGACAACTTTAAATTTTTTGTTAAAAATATGGAAGTCACTAATAATTGTGCCGAAAGAAATATAAAACTAATTCAAGACTTTATTATGGCATACCAAAATGAAGATATGAAGCAGAATGTCTTGTTGATTGCAAAAAAACAACAGAAAAACGTTAAGGACAAATCTGACTAAGACCCAGCTAAATCAGATTTGAAGTGCTTGTGATATTTTTTTAAACATTTCTTTCCACAATTATTCAACATATGCAACATATATTTCTCATAAATTTTATTATAATAAATGCTTAACAAATTTTTTTAAAATATTTTTAAGTTTTATCGTAAAAATAGGAAAAAATCAAAATAATTCAAGAATTTAAAGTTTTACACCAAGCACGGTTTAAATTTAAAAATTCTGATATAATTGGTCATAATATACCTAGTAACCAAGTTCTAGATAGCACACATCTATTTTTTTCAAAAAATTATATTTTTTTGGGATACCCTAATATATATGTATATATGTATGTATATATATATATATATATATATATATATATATATATATATATATATATATATATATATATATATATATATATATATATATATACATATATATATATATATATATATATATATATATATATATATTTATATATATATATATATATATATATATATATATATATATATATATATATATATATATATATATATATATATCATATATATATATATATATATATATATATATATATATATATATATATATATACATATATATATATATATATATATATATATATGTTTATCTGAGAACCTAATATTGTATTCTTCATCAAACATATTTTTATGTTTGATGAAGAATACAACATTAGGTTGTATTCTTCATCAAACATAAAAAAGTAAAGTATAAAAGTTAGTCATGTGACTTACGATTTTATTATCATTGATTTAGTTATAAATAACTTGGTCAACTGTGCATTTTACATGGTAAACATTTGTTGTTTCAAAGTTGCCTTTTTTTTAAAATGACCATAGAACCTTGAAACATAGTTTTTTTGTTAAATTTTTAATTTTAAATAGCTTAGTACTAAAATATCATAAAAATATATAAAACTTGAAATTTTCAAAAAGTGGACATCTGTGGTTTTGCCCGTGTGGTCTTCAAATAATATTTGAAATACGGTTTACAGATATTATTTATGTAAAAACGAATTACAAATATTATTTATGCAAAAACGTACACAAACATTGCTATTGAAAAAGTTAAGTGATTTTGTAATAAAAGCAAAAACAAAATTGACATACAATTTTTCCGTTTTGTAAAATTTGTCAAGAACTTGTTCTCAAAAGTGAAAAATCAGTATTATTAACACAAAATTTACAATAATTTTCTAAAAATAGTTCATAAGTAGGATGAAGATTTTTATAATTATGTATTATATATTGACCTTAAAGATATTTTTTAATACAAAATTTGAAAAGTAGATTTTGAATATTTTTTGGTCTTTTAAAGTTTCAATCGCATTTTTTTCAAATTTTTAGTTTGGTGACAGAACAAAATAATAACGGACGGACGAGCTCTTGATAATTACTTTCCAGAAAAATCAAGGATATTAAAAAACGTGTATAAATATGTATGTGCGTGTGTGTGTGTGTGTGTGTGTGTGTGTGTGTGTGTGTGTGTGTGTGTGTGTGTGTGTGTGTGTGTGTGTGTGCGTTGTAGGGTAAGGTTGCCGATATTATACCGCACCTAAATTGTACTTTTTCTATATCTAGTTATTTTTACAACCCAAAAAATATCTTTTAACAAAATTTTTTATCTTTGCTTTGTTAAACTTAGGAATCAATTATTTTTTTGTGATATAAAACTAGATTCTGACAACAGTTACATCAAGTTGATATGATGCCAAAGGTTTCTTATTTTTGGGGTTCAATGTTTAGAGTATTACTTTAAACATGTTAAATATATATCTTTTTTATCATAATTATGTGAGTTCAAAATAACTTCCAAGAAATTAAAATACAGTAGCATTTGTTATCAAATACCAACGTTTAAGTTTTGGAATATTTCAACTTTTTTAGAACAGTTTATCCCCAAAATTTAAAATACAATAAAGTTTTATTGTTTCTACTTGGTATTTTATATATATATATATATATATATATATATATATATATATAAATATATATATATATATATATATATATATATATATATATATATATATATATATATATATATATATATATAACGAGAAAATAAATAAATATATATATATATATATATATAAATATATATATATATATATATATATATAACGAGAAAATAAATAAATATATATATATATATATATATATATATATATATATATATATATATATATATATATATATATATGTATATATATATATATATATATATATACATATATATATATATATATATATATATATATATATATATATATATATATATATATATATATATATATATATATATATATATATATATATATATATATATATATATATATATATATATATATATATATATATATATATATATATAACGAGAAAAAAAGGGAATCATTAAAATTTAATTCAATTAAATGTTACATTGAGCAAACTTAAAAGGCAATTAACGTAATATACAACGCTGTGCCAATTAAAATTACAACGTTGAATCAACGTAAAATAGTGCATTTTGTTCACTAAAAATGTAACAATTTGTTA